TACAAAGTGCACAGCAGTTAGAAGCTTTACCCGCTCACAAAACTGGATTTTTAAGAGATCTTAAGACAAAGCAAAGCGAGGACCACTTCTTGTTTTTTTCCCTGAGTGAGGAGGATTAGGTGTGCGTCTCACTAGTAGGAGGCTCCAACATGACCACACAAGGGAGATGACAAAGCCAGCCCTAGGCAGATTAGGCCAACAGGGATGTAAATAGGATGTTACATCACCATCATGCTTACCGGCATCCACCGCCGTCCCCAAGCACCCTGCCTGGCAAGAGGATTTGATTGACGCCATAGGCCACAGTGATCACACTGTTTATACTGCACAGTATATTCTGCCAAAATACTTTTTAACAGCAGTTGTCAGACTTGTGTGATACTGATATTCTGCATTTTCTTCTGGTAAAAAATAAATATCTCTGTACTGTTTTTTTCCCACACATGACTTTAGTTGCATTACCCATCCTCTTTGCTGATGACACTAATATTGTCCGATCACAAGCTAATTTTACCGATCATGTACTGAAAATGGTTCAGAATAAACAAACTTTATCTTAAGTATTAGTAGATGAACAAGTGTCCTGGAAAGACCACACTGAGTTGTGTGTAAAAAGACAATGAAGTCACTCAAATGCCTTTGCCTCCTTAATCGCTCGACGCCTTACACTTATAAGTGGGAGCAGGAGGAGTCTCACACACATGTCCAGTGGGTTTTCAAAATAAGGTATACGCTGGGTGGATCTACAGGTAAATTTTACAGGACATGGCAACCATTTCTGACACATACAAAGACACTAAAACGGTGTGATAGTTCATAATTGATTCTTACTTAGAGCAAATTGCAATGTAGACTGGCTAGAGACAACTGTAACTGATGTATAAATCTATTTGTATGATTGTGTGTGTGTGCGTATGTTCACATTTAGACTTATGTTGCTGTCTGCTTATGTATGTCTGAAATGTGTGTCTGCCCATGTACACATGTGTACTGTCATTTTAGCTTCCATTTTAGTCCTATACAACCATTTTTTTTCTTCGCTTCTGAGGGATCGGGGCATAAAAATGGACAATATGCAAATGTTTGTATTTTGGTATTCCACTCTGGATATATTACAGTAGTAGTTATGTTGTTGAAAACACGGAAAATAAAATTCTAAAAAAGACTATGAAGTCACTGGGCATCATTAGAAAACTTACGCATCATACTGTCACATCGTTTGGGCCAGTACATATCCTTCTTCCCTGCACTACTACTTGTAATCCAAAAGAAATTTGTCCAGTTTGCAACTGCAGCAAATCGTTGGGAATCATCGGCTCCTCTGTTCAAGAAATTAAATCTGCTGCCAATGTTTAATATTAACATTTATAAAACCAATATTTTTTTTGTATAAATCTATGTTTTAAAAGTACAGCTTATCCAACAAGACAAGCAGAAGATATTTATCTTCCCTATTACCGCACAGCACTTGGACAATATGCTCTGGAACAACAGTCCTCACTTCATTAAAACCTGTCCATCATTACCCTCATTTAAATCTGAATGACTTAATGTATTAATTATGTTTATGTGTTATGTGCATTTATGCTTATTATATTTTCTTGTTTTGTCTGTTATACTCTCATGTTTAGGGGAGAAATATTGTTTGTAATAGAATAGATTTTACATTCTAGAGGGCAGGTTTTCTCCAACACCATCCCTAATCTTATATACTTGTTTTTAATCACATCTTTTGTGTTAATAAAATTCAAAATATTCTCACATCTGCCTCATGTCTAACACCTTAGAGATAATAAGGTAAACTGAATCGCCTCTCTGGAACCCTTTAAGCCTACCTTATCCTTTTGCACGGAGGATTCACGCTGGATTGCCCCAGACAGTTTCTCAAACAGAAAACACAGGGAAAGTCTGTGATTTTGGTGGTGCCAACAAATGTATATATCATAATATCCAAGCAGAGTACAGCTCCATGTTTCATAGTACTCTAATTTCTTCCACAAAACAAATCTGGCTATTTGAACCATCCTCAAGGTATAAACTCAGCCATTAAAAGGGTGGATTCAAAGAACATTTTCTGATTATGAGAGCGGTTGTGACCAACAAGTTGCAAGAAATCGTACCTTTCTTCATCAACTCACATAAAGTTTCTTTTGTGTAAGGCAGTTAACACAGGTGGTGCTGGTTAACTGAAAAACACCATCCATACCCTGACATAATGTGGTTAATTAAATGTCAAGGAAAACCAGGTATTTTTTGGGCTGAACGGTGGTTAATGGGTTTATTGGCAGCAAAGAATGAAATGCATACACACACTCTGAGCAATAATTGCCTCATAAATGTGAGCTCAAGGGTGTAAGGATTAGAAATCCATCTGTCAGCTATTTTCATGAAACTTCAGTGAAGTGTGTGGAGCAAAAACCTGTCTCCTTCCTGACCTACTATATTGAGGTTAAAGGAAATACAGAGGTAAGCCAAGGGCCGCTGAACAAAATAAGATTAGTGTTTATTTCACTGAATGGGGCTGGGAACTCCCGTCCAAAGATAGTGCCCAAACTGGATTTAGCTGTGTGACTAATTATAATCATAGTGTAGTTACATGTATGTCCATTATTTTTGGCTTCTCAGTTTATCCCACTCCCAGTGTAAAGTAGAGATTACTTCTCTGAACAAGCCCCTGCTTGATATCCCTGTCTCCCTAACACAATAAACAGTAAGACAGGTCGAGAAGCCAGGCTGCTGGCACGCACTCAGCTTTCACATACTGCAATCTGTTGTGGAGGGATTTAAAGGGAATTAAGATGTGTCCAGGCCCCGTGACATTAGGAAGCTATTCAAGGTCAATTATATTGAAAACACACGTGGACTCTGAAACAGAGAAAGTTCAATTTGATCATAACCTCTGAATGCGATTACTTGGTCAAATAACAGTGTAGTTAAGTATCTCAGCTGTCACACACATTCAACTAACTGTCCTTAAAACTAGGACGTTACCTTAGACACAGCCTAACTTAAAATAGGCCTAATAATTCAAGATTTGAACTATCTAAAATTCTGTCAGATAGACGGTGTGGCCCCAGTTCACTGACACAAACTAGAGGTAAATTTGTAGTAGCTCACGTCATTTTGACAGCTGAGTTCAACCATTTTTGCTCGCGCCCCTTGTCCCCTCGGTTAGTCCCTTGTTCCCTCCGTTAGCCCCTTGTCCCCTATGTTTCGTGTAGTTTTAAACTCACCATGGAGGTTGTAGCTTCTCCCTTCAGCCGTTGTCTGTGCCCGCTGATAACACGACGTGACATCAGATAAAATTCACCTAGTATCTAAAACCTAGGAGCTCTGACTACAGGGTGCGTGCCTGTGCGCGTGACTGCTCCCCGTGGAAACGTACACACAAACGCGACGCTTGCTGAGTTGCCAGGTGACGAGCGGTGGCGCGTGCGGGCGCAATGCTTTGTGGGAGTGCGGAAGTGAAAAAACACGTTCAACAACGGCTGAAAATGTAATTAACTAATTGATATTTATATGCCATGTAGTATTTTAGTGTTTTACGGTGTCCCTAAAACATTTTGACTCTAACAGGCTAACGTTTCAACACCCTAACAAACTGGCAAAATTATTTGAACTACAAATGGCGACAACCAAAGCTGCCGGTGAGTATTTTTTAGTTTTGCTCCAAAGCTGTAGCTGCTTAGAACTGAAAAAGGCAGTGTTCCAAGTTTCCGGTTTTATCGTTATTATTTATTTTATTTTATTTTATTTTATTTTATTTTATTTTATTTATTTATTTAGGCTATTATATTTTTATTTAAGGAATATCAATACATAGCCTACAGTAACATTATATGCACAACAACTGAACATGCCAGGGGTACATGTAAACAGAGAAGAAATTCAGGAGAAAACAACAAACAAAATAAATAAGAAAAATATGAAAAAGTGGTAAAAGTCAGTGTTCGTCCTTGTAACCTTTTTATTTGCAAGGCCTCTTAAGCCACATTCTGTTGAGGTTTTGAGTCCACCTGTTTGCTTTTGTGGATGTGGAATTTTTTAAAATCAATACAAAAAATACTAGCCTATATTTTTCCACCTCGTGGCTTTCAAAACAAGTGATAATGTATTCTTTGCCCAATTTTTCTTCTTATATAAAGTTGAACATCCACCCAAAATATTCTGGTATACATTGTTATAAAAGAAATGGCGAATTGTTTTTTTCTTCTAATTCACATAAAGTACACTAATATTCAATATCAAGTCTAAATATCCCTAGTTTCCCACAGTAATCACAACACGAAAGTTTAGGATGACAAGAAAGTGACATAAGTGAGAGCTCAACCTCTGTGGACACACTGGCAGTTCATGTGTTGCACCACTAGATGGAGCTGTCGGGCTGTGGTGTAGTTCTGTTTTTTTTTTTCACATTTGCCAATACACTGTATAGGCCTTATGTATGGTGATGATGAGACAAACACACGTTTAAAATGTTAACTGACTATTCAAATGTTGTCAGTGTGGATCAGTAGATAGACCAAGCCTCCAAGACATTTCCAACAGGCCCAATAAAAGAAATGAATAGATTAACTGAATAGAATAGAATGGAATACAATAGAATAGATCAAATCATTAACACCTGAACACACACACGTTTTGATGTCAGACTTGATGCAGCCTAGGAGCGTGTGTGTCATCTTCATCACTTCCCGGTCACAGATAAGATGATCTGTATGTGCTGATTAATGCTCAGGTATTCATTCATTGCAGTCCACGCGACTCTGAGCCACAGTACATTAAGATTAAATAATTAAATTAAGACAGCTTTCTCATGTGTGCTTTTGTGTGTGTGTGCGTTAGTGTGTGCAAGGGGTGGTCTTCACACCCACCCACCCACACACACACACACACACACACACACACACACACACACACACGCACACAGCATGTAAAGCCAAGAAACAGTAGAAGGGGGGATAACAAGTGGAATTTTGCTCTAAGAGGATTATCGCGGTCGTTAGCCAGCAGCCGGTCTTCTCAACGGATGCCCGGTTGAAAACAGCGCATCGAGACGCGTGCAATAACCTACTGCAAACCGGGCGAGGACACGGCTCATACTGGTGGGAGTCGGAAGCGTTTTGAACCGGTGGTACATGTAGATTAACTGTGACACTGCAAGATGATAATTTGTAGTTCTTATCCGATGGGAGCGCACCGGTATCCGTCGCCGGGATTGCATCTGCACCGGAGAGCGGTTTCCTGAGTGGGGGGGTTGTTGAAAGCCTGTTTGTGGCATGAAGACCCGACCTGCAGGGATCGGCAATGCTAATGCCGACTGGATGGGCTCGCTGCCCCCCAAGCTCAGTGCCATGCCCCTCAAGCACATTGCAGTGCCAGGTGAGACTGTCATGCGTAAAGAGGTTGGTTCTTTGCGTCCATCTGTAGCCTACACCACACCTGGATTGATAGCACTGTCAGCTCTGGGTGACAACACAGCTGCAAGTCTGACTTGAATATGATCTGTTAATTGTTCTTTTGGATCTTCATTTGTCATTTCCAGGGTCTCATGATTCTTTCACCTACTGGGTGGATGTGCATGCTCCTGTGGGACCCGACCAGAAGGCATATGTGAAATACCTCGCCACCATGTTCAGCGTCATAGCTAAGAAAGTCATGGTGAAGTGGTCCATGACCCAGGTACTGAGTTCACATCTAACCATCTGGAGCCTGGCAGCTTGCAGATGACTTATGTTGTGATATTTTGGGCAGAGTTTCTGTATGTTTTATAGAATACCAGATGTGTTGGTTTGTGTAGCCAGTAGTTATGCATCATGTAATATATAATGTCTGTATTCCCAGAATCTGACATTTAAAGAGCAGCTGGATGCAGGAATTCGCTACTTTGATCTCAGGGTCTCCTCCAAACCGGGCGAGGCTGGGAATGAGATCTACTTCATCCACGGCCTGTTTGGCCACAAGGTGAGCAGTGGAGTAAATATGTACAGACATCATTGTGGCTGTTGTGTCTGCCTCTGTGTCCTCCCTTATTGTGATTAGATATGTTTTATATCATCTGTCACGTTCCACTTTTGTCCTTCAGCATTATACAACAGCGCGGACATTGAATGTGTTCTGTTAGTGTTGTGTTCTAGTTTCCAGCTGATGTTGTTAGCAGTGCGATGGAGATGGCCTTGGACAGGGATCAAAGGTTGTGAGTTTAGGTGTAAACATCCCTCTCCTGAAATCTGACCTGTCCCCTTTATGACTCTGTTTTGCTACCAGTAGTGCGTCACCATCAGACCTTTAGGTTTGATGCAGCAAATGACCCCCGACCTTTCACTCTTCTCTCGCCCACAGGTGTGCGATGGCTTGCTAGAAATTAACTCCTTCTTGAGCAGGCACAGGAAAGAGGTGAGAAATATGATTTAAATTAAACACAAATACACAAGCATGACCATAGACGGATAGAGTTTGCCTACTAACTGATTAATGTTTGTTTGATGTAGGTAGTGTTTCTAGACTTCAACCACTACTACGCGATGGGCCCAGAGCATCATGTGTACCTCATCAACATGCTCCAGGAAGTGTTTGGCAGCAAGCTGTGTCACAACTGTGCAGTGGAGAGCATCACTCTGGACTACCTCTGGCAGAAGAAACATCAGGTGAGATCAGAGTGCATCGATTGACTCCAGTGATCTCAGACCACTTAGAGCTCATACACATGTACAAGTAAAAGCAACATGGAGGTGTGTGTTTACTGGACAGTCCACTTAACCCCTGTGGTCAGGTAATCCCCTGCTGCAATTAGTGGTCAGTGTCATCCCATTAACACTTGTTCCATCATCCACACCACCTTTCTTCTTTCAGTGTATTTAGCTTTTATCCTTTGTTCACACTCTTCTTTTTGTGTTGGCTCGCCCTACATTTCTTTTTCAATTTCCTCATCTCACACTGTCTTCATTCTCTTCTTTTTATACATTCAAATAGTTTTATAGTATGTTGTGACATAGCTGAGGCTAATGTGTGGTTAGATTCAGGCACAAAAACACTTGGTTAGTTGAAGGAAAACATGTTTTGGTTTAAAATACCCAATGTGGTCACTACAAGCACAGCTGGACATGTCCCGAATTGTCATTAAAAAAAAAAAGAAACACCCGCTTTTGTGGCTACAAACACAGCTGGACATGTTCTGTCTGCTGCTTGGCAGGTATCGCCCCATCCACCATCCCCTCCTCCTCCTCCTCCTCCTCCTCCTGATGAGCAACTCAGCTCATATACATGCCATCTGAACTACATCATGCGTCTGATGTACAAATGTAACGTAGCCTTGGTTTGCAGAAACATACAAGGTGCGTAAACATTTTATTTTTGCGACTGGGCCAGCACGGTTCTGTGTGCATGTCTGTGTCTCATACATACTATCAGTTTAACTCCTGCTCCTATGACCCTAATCTGTGACTGGCTTAGTTGGCAAAGGAGAAGGAGAGGGAGAGAGTGCAGAGCTGACAGAGGAGAGACAGTAGAGGAGGAGAGATCTGCACAATTACCAGCTAACTATGTTGTTGAACATGTTATAGAGAAGACACCTCATCAGTTGTCTTATTATTCCACTGCTAAATCACTGTGGTGAACAGTGGACTAGTCAGATGTGTTTTTATGATGGTCACAGCTACTTTATTGGAATATTAAACTCTGATGCAGATGAGTTTTATCTCAGATGCCCATAATGTGCGGCTGTACAAGTGTTTAGATATTACTGTAGATGCAGGGCTACTCATTATTATACAGTAACTTTGGGGTCTAGGTTGCAAATATTGTCATGTTAGTGCATGTAGCTGAAGAAATAGGACATAGAACAATTAAAATAATTTTCATATGTTGCTCATAAGGGGGTAAAAATGAGCCAGCAATAATCATGTTCATCCTAAATATAAGTAATGATAACCAAATTTAATTTGCTGTACCGGCATCCAAATGGTATGAGTCTTTGCTGCTGCTGCTTCTTCTTCTTCCTCTTCTTCTTCTTCTACTTTTTCTCCTTCTTCTTTTTCCACTGTTGCAGGGTAAAAACAAAACATACTGGACCTTTTCAGGGGCCCAGCCATTTCTGTGTGCAGGGCTGTACCTGATATCTACTTGACTGTCAACATGGGACTATCTGAGTGTTACCTCATGTTATGTGAGGTATACCCCATCTGTGCAGTCTTTAAACTTTTCTACTCACTGTCTTTGATTTACTTGTCTCCTCAGGTGATTGTGTTCTACCATCATCCATCAGCTCAGGGCATCCCTGTCATGTGGCCTGGCAACAAGATCCCTGCTCCCTGGGCGAACACCACCGAACCCGACAAACTCACACAGGTCAAAAAACAACAACGCCACATATGTACTTGTGTCATTCATACATTCAGTGGTAAATCAGTACAGATACCTGCACGAGATGGAGGATTCAAGCTAACAAGTCAGCAGTTTAGACCTCTATCTCGCATTAGGAGGTGATACAGATTAGATATGTTGTGTTTAAACTGCTTGTGTTTGACATTCTCTCCTCTAGTTCCTGGAAACTACGCTGAAAGAAAGGGCCAAGCAGGGCTCCTTCCATGTGTCTCAGGCCATCCTCACACCCAGGGTTAACACCGTGGCCAAGGGCCTGGTCTGGGGGCTGCGCAACTACCTGGTGGAGAAGTCAGTAACTGAGTTTGGGTGTTTTCAGAAGGTTGTGACTGAGTGAGGTGTGGTGGAACATTGAGGATGTGATATACATTAATTATAGTTTTGATACTTCAGTTTTTACTTAGAATTAACTTTCAAACACATGTCTAAGATTTAGCAATTGAGCCCAAGTGTGTGACTGTGTATGTGCTCAGGCATCTGTGAGCCTTATCCTCTTCTTGTAGAGTCATCTCCATTTAACTATGTAAGTCTGTGGCCAGTAGAGGGCAGTACAGTTCATGCATGCAACAACGGATTGTCATCTTTGCACATGTGCTTGAAAATGGCATTATGAACAAGAGCAAACTAGATACTTAGAGCAAATGCACAGTAACAGAAAAATGCAAAAATGTAAAGAACTCATTTAAATGAAACACACTACAACCAATAGATGACTGTGTGTTATTACTGACTTTCACACTTTCTTTTTGCAAAAGAGGCGTTTCATGTTCTGTTCTTGATCTGTGCGAACGCTGTTGTGTCACATTTAACAGTTTGATGTGACCATTAATAGATGCCGTCATATAGAAACAGCTTCATCAGCATTTTAAAAATAATTATTTCTATTGTCATAGTACAAATTAGATGAATAAAAACCCACAGTATCTGCTTCTGGCTTAAGACTTGTGGTGTTGTGTGTTCACATGGTGCTGTGCTACATCATCCAGACAACAATATGATCTCCTGAAAAAGCGTCTTTCCATTTGCTATTGTTGTCAGGCTTTACTGTGGATGGATTGGCACAGCTGTTTTGGGAATATGAGTGTATCTACTACACACCACACCCTCTGATGGAGGATGTAGTGCAGTAGTGAAACAAATTGTGACTTCTCTGTTACAATTTTCTTTCACGTCACTGGTTTATTTCACTAAGGATAAGCTCTAATCCTCTTTATCCATTTCCAAACTATAGAGGATCAAACAGAAACACATTTCATCTCTCTGATAAGAGACCTTATTTCCTAAGCAAGGACTAGATTATTTGCACAAACTTCAGCAGTCACCCAGCTCGTGGAGCCGAAGCTTTGAGTGGAAATGACAGCAGAAATCCTGACTTAGAGTACATACCCACCATACCCGCAAATCTGAGAGAAACTGCCACTGATGCCGGGGTATAAAACTCCTGAACTGACTCTCTGGCGAGACAGGAGGCGGCCTAATTTTGCACTTCCGAGGAAATGGGATTGTTTATCGCCACTGGATAAACATTCTGACTTCCTGGTTTTGTTCTGCTGGCGGTTCAGACATAGTGGAGAATTTAAGGGTGTTGGAAAGATACAGTTACAGAGACATGGCATGTGTTTGTGTGCCTGTGTATGTGTCATTGCTTTGCCAAGAACCAAAACAGAATGTGTTTGAATGCAAAGCAATGATTTTCAGACAATAGTGGCAAAGTAGTCTCTCACTGACAGACAGACGGACACAAACATCACTCCCTTTAACTGTTTTTCCATTAGGTCCACTTTCTCCAACATCAAGATACTGAATCTCCAAACCTTATCAATGGCTGTTTATGGATTTTGGTGGACAGATAGAAAGTCAGCCAAGGAACAACTGATTAGAGTTTGGCAACGTGATAGACATAACAATAAATCTCACAGAGACAGAAACTTGGCTCGGGATAATCTGAGTCGCAAGGTCGGGGTATGAGTTTAAATTGAAATTGAAGTGACAGCATTTTTGGTGTAACAAAAATCGGTGTAACTGTCTCCCCTCTAATACATACCTTCTCCTTTTGTGGCTTTAGAAACCTGCCGACCATCATTTCCTGGGTTGAGGCTCAGAGGCCAGGGGTGGATGGGGTAAACATCATCACCTCTGACTTTGTGGAGCTCACTGACTTTGCCAACATAGTCATCAAACTCAACAACCTGCTGTTGTCTGAACAGGGCCGCAAACCAAGATGACATATGTTTGCACAACAGGACAAATGTGCGCTGACCCACAGAGTGGTGGAGGTCGCAGGTCAGAGGTCAGATTCCTCCACCATTGTTGGATAATACTTACGTAATGCTATGAAATAACTTTAAATAATAATGTATTATTTTGCTTTGTGACTTTAATAAGAATTTTTTTCATCAGCTAGAAAATGGCTCTTTCTTTAGCTGACCAAGTTTCTTAGTCTTGCTCAAGGACACACATAGATAGATACTGTGTGATCCAGGGACCCTTGAATGGCCCTTGAATGACATAAAACCTTTGAACTTTTTGGAATTTTGAACGTCACTGCTTTGGATGCAGCCGACTCTCTCAGCCCCCAATATCATGCACACAAAGTCCAAAAGAGGGAAAGAAGCTGGTGCTCAGATCACAGAGCATGCCCAGTGGCATTTTTACCATCATCCTGTCATACCACAGCTCTGGCTTCATGTCTGGATTAATCTTCCTGCGTTTCCTTTTGGGGGAAATAATGGAAATATACCACACTGGTACTATCAAATGGCGGAGCAGCAAGGTCACCATGACGAAAGAGACTCACAGGAAGCTGTGACCTGGACAAGGATCATATGACTCAGAGATATCACTTATACGGTTCCAAGATCTTAAACATTAAAATAGCTGTCATTCTTTAAAATGTTCCGACCACATCACAGATTCGTTTTTGCCAAGGGGGAAGCCCTAATCCGATATTACATGATTATTTTGATTTTTGTTGTATGTATAGATATTTAAGTTATGGCTGCATCAAAACTTCAGGTATTTTAACCCTTTGAAACCTGAGCAAATCGGCTTGATTTCTTTCAAAAATATGGGAAGAAGGCAATGAGCAACGAAAAAAGAAATGACCCAAAAAAATTCCCCCGAAAATTAGTAAAAAGAGAAAATTTTAAAAAAAGAAAGAAAATTAGGAAAAAAATGTTAAAAACAAACAAACAAGGACATGACCTTAAAAATTGCTTAAATTATTATAATAATTCTGTACCATACTTTTAAGTATGTAATAATAATAATTCTAAATATAATTTTTCCCCATTTTTTAAAAAATAATTTTCTAAATCTATTAGTTTTTTGCAATTTATGGGACACGTCTTACTAAGTTGCTTATTGCCTTTTTCCCCATGTTTTTGAGAATAATTTGCCAATTAGCACAGGGTTCAAAGGCACCTGAAAGCAGCACAAGAAAAGTAATGTTGCTCCAGGTTTCAAAGGGTTTATAAAATGCAGTAAGGACAAATATTTTGTTTACAGGCTACTAATACATCCAACATTATGTTAAAAAATTGTGAAAGAAAATGCCCGACATCATGGCAGTGGAGTCTTTTTTACATAGCATCAGTAATTGTAAACACTTGGCCAGAGAGCAGTAGCTGAGTTTTTAACGACGCACTTGGTGTTTTTCCCATAATGAGAAGTACAGGTAGCGTGTTTTGCATTCTTAGCAGCATTTTATGTTTCCATTTTAAGCATTGCCATGTGTTGTGAAAACAATGCCCACTGTGCCAACACTCTCAGTACATATTGTTGGGCTGTAAAGTTTAACTAGAGATACAAACAGTGGCACCTTTAGGGGGGAACTGCAGAGGGAAAGCCAAATATATGTAGAAATTGTGCCACTATGCTCATAAAACATGTAAACCCATATATATGCACAGCTATAAATGTTTGTTTGTCAGTATCTTTTTTTCCATGTCATTGTTTTACTAGACATGCAGAAATAGAAACAATTTCCTGGCTGGGACTGTAAAAGTATGTAGGGGAAATGCATAGACAGGCATTTACAGTATATCATGTCCAGCATGTGTCAAGTCTGTGTTGGGCTCCATAAAACAAGGCTTATATACATGTAGAAATAGCAAGGAAAGAAAAACGCCAACGTACTGTAGTCTGAAATGTTTTGTGTTTGTTGCTGTGTTTGTGTGTGTGCCTTGTGGGCCCAGTGATTACTATGCATGACGTGGACAGTACTGCAGTGACAGTCACCCAGCATTCCTGTGGTCAGAGTAGGGAATGAGAGGAGGAGAAGGAGATTTCAGAAGAAGACGCAAGTGATTTATAAAGCAGAGGCAGTTAGAAAGAAAGTAGAAGGAGAAGAAAGCAAGAGGAAGTTCAGCTGGGATCATAAAAAAATGTAGGATGCAGAGAGAGAAATCTGAACAGCTGTGTGTCTCTCTTCAGCAGCAGCAGCATCGTCTAACAGGAAAGTAAAATGTTGTCTTTTCGTATCAACTCTGCCCGTCTTTTTTCACTCCCTGACTCACTTGTGTGAAATTGGCTCTTCTGTCCAGGCCACATTGTTGACATGGCTGAGCGTGGTCACCAAGTGCTGCGAGGCTCACGCACGCACAAACACACACAGTCACAAGCACAGGCACTTTAATTGTGGAGTAATTACACATACCACGGCAGGCAAGTGGGAGAGCGGAGTGCAGCAGCTCCGGCTGATGGAGAGCATTCCTTTGTTGTTTGGATTGGTCCTCTCTCTCTCACTCGCTCAGTCCTCTGTATCCCTGCTGGCTTCCCAGGTTTCAAAGGAGAAGACAGCAACTCAAGCATGTACTTCCAGGTGTTAATAAAGTCCTAAAGTCATAACACTGCATTTGTGCCTGTGTGCATGTGTTTGCAGACCAAGATCCTCTACAAACAGTCTGTACCAAAAGTGGAGCAAACATTGACACACAGCTCCCTAAAACTATTTTGGGCACCACAGTCTAAGTAGATCTGCAACAACACTTGGCTTTTATGACCTTTGTGCCCCATCGCCTCATTTCTGTGTCGCTAAATTCAACACTTCAGCCCCCTCCCTGGTCTGCACCACACTTGACTTCATCACAGTCAAAAACACGGTCAGTTTCCAGTATTTAATGAGATGGTTTTTGGCATTTCAGTGGCAGTTGGTTGCTTTGGTTACGTGGTGTGTTTGTGTTAAATAAAGATGTCTAACTATTCTTGGAAAGCCATTTGCGTTGGCTTAAAAAAAGTGATTAACCCTGCGTATACACTGTGAGTAAACAGAGTTTAAGGCATTTAACCACTGCTATATGTGAAGTGATGTCAGTGGCCCGAGTGGACCAGGTCAGTAACATCCATTACACACAGATTTGTTAGTGCTCTCTTTTAGACCATGATGACTATTGAAACAGCTGTAAAAACACATGACACTGTATCTTATGACTGTCCTACCTCTGACAAAGTGTGGGATGAGTAACGAGAGAGAAAGACTTGACAAAACGTGTAGAGGCACAGCACCAGACCACTGCAAACAGATGAAAATGCACCTGGCTCACCCTTTGCCACAAACAGTGTTGATGTCATCCATTTATCTGTCATTAAGATGTTATTAAAAGCATGTGGTTTGAATAGTTTTACCCACACAACACCTCAGAGACCTACATGGATGATCATCCCTGAGATTGTCAGAGTACTGGTTGTAAATAGTTCAGATACTGTTTCACAGGCATTTTGTGAGGTAGAAAAAGATGTGCGATTTGTCTGAATGAAGGGGTCTCTCACGGCAAGGTCTCCTAACACCGGGTGGAATCCCTCTCCAAACAGCTCCAGAGTTCCTGCTCAGCCTCCTGGGATCACATGGGAGTTGTGGAATTCACTCGGGAATGCTGTCAAACGTTCAAACCCTCTCGAACCCACGGGCTCCGGGATGATGTCATTGGGAATGCTGAGCAGCTCTCATGCTAGCAAGCGACCATGGAAAGCATAATAGCTTTAAGCTTCTGGAAACACTTGACAGGGAAAGTTAAAAGGAAGTGTAAGGCCATTTTCAGGGAGAATTATCCTGATAACATTTAGCTGTTGCCTTTTTAAGGCTGTTGGCTCAAACGATGCATCTGTTAATGTTGAGTCAAGGCCTAAAGTGACCACAAAAGCCCACATGACATGGTGCCACATGGAGGCACATTTCTGGTGTTGGTTAACAGTAATGAGAAAAACAAATGTAATGGGCAGTGCTTTTTTTTCCAATAAACTTATTCCACTCTGGGTCTGGCCTATAATGCATGTCCTCCCCTTTTTCTCTCCTTTATCCTTGCGAGGACAGTCAGGTTTGTGAACTTTATGTAATTTGAAGAGTCACACTTTTAAGGATATGTGCGTCTATGAGTTCAAAACCTTTATTGATAAAGTAGATCTCTTCACATACTGAGTATCAAGGAAAACTGAGGAACAATGGAGAAAGTGGAGCAGGGCCGGGTGCACGAGCTCTCTTCCTGTTTATCCACAAAGAGATCCTTGCAGTGCCTGGGAGATAAGATAATCCTGCTGCCATGGATATGCATGTGTGTGTGTTTGTGCTTTTGTGTGTGTACTTGTGTGCAGGCAAACCCTCCTTGGCCTCAGTCCTAACCAGAGGACCACTTTCAAGACAACATTTATCATTCTCCAGCCAAGAGAGCACACCATGCATTACGCTTTAGTTGTGGTTGGCGTGCATAGCCTAAACAGCATTCTGCATGACTAAGGTTGTATTATAGTTTTGCACAATGCGTGTTGTTGTTTTATGTAACCTCTGCTATGAACTGTGGAGAATGCACGAACCTCTGCCAAATAAAATTAACTACCTCTGATACAGAACTACTGGCATCTCCTGCATGATGTCTTCAGACTGATGCATGACCATACATGTAGCTGAGATTTTTCAGATGGTGAACATAGCTTTTGCAAAGAGCAGCCAGCCACGGCTTAAATACCAACAGTTTCTCATGCGGCATCGGACAGACCAGACATTTAATGATAAATTAACTTTTTGCATTAAGTTCTAGAATATGTGTTTTCATGGTGGAAACACAGATGGATTTTTTGATGAAAATTAAGAAACTGTTTGCACATTCTTTTCCTATATAATTTTGTCGAAACAACCAACAAACTTTGTTCATCATCTGCACCCCCTGTCTTGGGCAAATTAGTGTGGTCATATCAGACAGCGTATAATTAAGTAATGAACTTATCCCTCAGCAATATAAAGGCTAAGTGCAGTGGAATTAAAAGCCACTTCAGTTTTACCGTAAATGTTTTAAAGGTTCAGGAGATAACTTTTTTAAAAAATGAAAACAATTCTGTCATATTTGCTGAAACGGTCACTACATCCTGACAGTAGTACATGAGACAGATCATCTTCAAAAAAAATCCGGTCCCTCTTGCTCCTCTGAGTGCACCTAATGACATTTGCAAGAGTCCACCACCTCTGAATGAAACAACCAATCAGAGCTGTAACACAGTGTCAATCACTGCTCGTCTACACCGCACAGGCTCAATATTTTCAGCATGCGCCAACACAGTGGCTGAGAAACAACCACCAGCGATTAAAAAACTGCCTGTGCTTTCTTTGCCAACAGCGTACACGGCAAAGACATGTCAACAGAAGAAGACTGACAATGAAAAGCAAGCAAAGACGAAACAGTGAAACCAAGTCTGAGCTGACATTAGTTTTGAATCCTTTTAAGTCCCATGGCTCTCCCTTTACCTTGGAAAAGCTGCTCCGATGTTTACTTGTTTTATCTGAGGCTCAGTTTAACGCTTTCTTTTTAGCCTGCTCCACATACCTGCTCCTGTTTACTTGTCTTTGCTGTGTGGGGAGCAGTGATTGACAGCTGCGTTAGAGACTCCTCCTGGCTCTGACTGGTTGTTTTCACAATTCTTGCAAATACCATTAAGAGGAGTAGGAGGAGAATTGTGGATTGTGTGTCACATAATCGTCCTACTTGTCCTACTGCCAGGATACAGTGATAGTTTAAATGAATATGACAAAAACTTTTCCTGGTAAAAATTACCATTAAACTTCAATTAAACGCCCAGTCCTTTTTACTAGCCCGGTGTGGCTACACATTTTAACAAATAAAGGCCTGTCTCAATTAGAGGCCTGGTCTGGTTGCCAAGCAGCTCATTTCTATAGAAGTTCTTCAGATGTATAAAATCAGGTTCTTGGCTGCCTCAAATTATGTGTCCATTCCTCAGTTACCCAGTAAGTTATTCGTATTCCTTTAGTCTGCAAGGGTCCTCAGATCAAGTGTCTGTCAAATGAATGACTCATAATTGATATATTATCTGAAGCCTAATTTTTAAACAACTAATATTCATACTGGTTTCAATAAACAATTTGATTGTATTTCCCATCTGTGTTGAGCAACAGTTTTGTGTGAGAGGAATTAAAGGCCTGTCCCAAATATAGGCCCGCTGATTTCAGTGATTTAAGCAAACAATAGCCTAGGCTATTAACTGAAGTTTTACGGTAGCCTGCACTGAACCTTTAAGTGTAACAGGAGAGATTATAATTTTCCATCCTTGGGAATATTTGAATTTTTTGTTTGGGTTGAATGTGTAGATTACTTCACTGCCTTAACCCATCCTGTGTTCATACAGACGGGCTATATATTTTGTAACAGGCCTATCACACACAGTACAGATCCTTTGAATGGTGTTATGGGTTTTTTCTCTCAAAGGAATGTAAATACTTACATTTTCTTAACCTTTATCACTCACTGCAAGTGCTGCATGACATGCATTGTATCAGTTTGTTTGTGCACCAGTCTGGACCTGTCTCCACTGACTGAATGAATCAAAACCTGCAGTATTTGGGGCTGCAGTGTGTCATGTGAAGGGAGACTAGACTGCATTCCTGCTCTAATATCATTAGCTAAACATGCTTTATCGTGGTGTCTTATCATTACAGCCAAGTGGGTCTGAAAGAATGCTCTCTGCCTCTCTTTGTCCCTGTCTTTTTTCCTTCTCTCCCCTTTTCTCCTCCTCTGTGTCAGCCTAGAGGCTTCTCCCTTTGAGTCAGTGAGAATTAGAGGTCAGGTGGAGGTGGTCTGTTAACACCTGCACATTATGATCTGTGTGTGTGTGTGTGTGTGTGTCAGTGTGGTAGAGAGAGACAGAGAGGGAGGGAAAGAGGAGAGAAACTCCCTCCCCTTGTTCCCTCTCCTGCTTCCACTTCCAGCTGTTGCTGCATTCCTCCACACGTCGCAATTGGCTGAAGCCGCCGGCTTTTTTTACGTTTGTGTACATTTGGAGAGTGTTCGTGTGTGTGTGAGAAGGTAACGGAGGATTGAAAGTATCTCCCAGACACACAGGCTGCTGATGCCGCGCAGGGAATGTATTCACTGTCAAGAAAGAGACTGTGATCAACAAGTGACAGGATATTTTCGGGATCTTGGAGCAGTTGCGTAATTGCGCCCTTCGCTGCACGATGACAGAAGTGGCCAGTCCCGCTTCAATCATGGTAAGCGCTGTTTTTATGAGGGGAAAATATCAGAAAGCCAATTTCTTATATGACTCAAATGCGTGTTTCTAAATTAGGACGTTTAATGGAAGTCTTTCATGGTGTTTCAACAGCTACTGATGTTTAATCCACAGCTCCGGGAGTTCTTTACAGTGTTTGTTTCTAAAGTGAGCTGTGTAACGATAAGCCAAATCTTATCCGACTTTAATTCCGGATTTTTGTTCTCAGCAAATAAAATACAATGAAAGTTTTGTTGGTTTCTGGGCTACTGAGTAAAAGTCCCATTAACACAATAGCCTTTATGTGTATTAAGTGATCCTACTGAAGATAAACACATTAAAAAGGGCCTATGCGTTATTCTGTAATTCTGACATTGCCCACTATAAAACAACACCATGTGAGTACCACAGGGATGTTAAGAGGACAAATCAGAGCAGTTTGACTGATGATGATATTGTATGTTAGTGTATGAATAAGAGCCTCATCCCACATCTGACACAGTGAAGCAGTCCATGGCACTCTAGTCTAGTGGCCTAACATGGGAATCAACCAGCACATTTAAGAAAGAAGTCAGAAGTCTTACCACCTCCCACCTCTATTAACATGTCAGATGTCTAATGAAGACCTTATTACTTTTGATTTCCCAGTGAGGAAATGATATAAGGTGTTGCACTGGGGTCATGTGGAGCTGTCAGTAATGTGCATGGGAACAAGTTGTATACTGCGTATTATGGCTCTGGATTGTAGTGTAATTATGAGGTTGTAGATTTGCCCTTGACGGGTCCAACCACAGCATTTTATGTCTTCTGTGTAAATGTTTTTATCACAGAGGGTATTACAATTCTCCATGTGTGGTGCCATTATAGCAACAGTGTTATCAGAATTAGGCATGGGTTCCTTTAGGCTCATCAGTCAGGTGGACAAATACTAAGCTAAGTGGGCATCTCCTTCATTAGTCCCCTGATGCAACTATCTCACAACATACTGGCTCAAACCCACCACTGGTTGTTTGATTTATTCATTCTTATATATTTTTTATTTATTTATCTATTTTATTTTTAGTTTTGTTTTTTTCTTGTAGTCAGTTTGTCTTAGCGCCGTCTCCTGTCTAATGACACAACTGTGTAACCTCTACAGTCATTGCATCCTATTTACTTTTTAATTTTTATGTTTTTATATAGTCATATGATGAAGGTAATCTGATGGGGTTTTTTTCTGTTCATAAGAAATCAATAAAAATTACTGATAACTTATTGAAAAAAAAAAGAATTAGGCTTAGGTGGTATCAAAGTATTACTGGGGTATTTAGAAGTCCCAACGGTATGATTTTCAATACCATCAAAAATACAGATACTCATACACATAATTAAACTGATATGGAGATGCTGTACTGAGACAATGTATTGTAGTGCCCAGCATGCACCACCAGAGGTCAGTCTGCACTGGTAGAACAGGCAGCTGAGCTGAGAAAGATGGCGACTAAGAGTGGTGGGGATAACGTTACAGGACTAGTAAATAAGAAAAATACCTTTGCCCCTGCTTGTGAGTATTGCCACATATAACTTATGTTGACTTCTTCCAACCACAAAGCATTTCAGTAGCCACATGATTTTATTGAACACATCACCTCCATTCAGCCTACTGATGTGCTGATATCTGCTAACTGCATGTTAGAAACACAGCATTGTAGGTTAGACATACATACATACTAAAATCACTTCTATCACCAGTAGCTACTTCAGTTTACTTTAGTTTTTTATACCAATACCATCATATGCTCTATGGCCGAGTGAAATGTCAGGAGGGTATGAAGGTATGAAAAAATAAATAATAAATAAATAATAATGTTAAAACCATTATACCTGTCAAGTTTGTTCTGGCCGTGATGTGGAAACCAGGAGGATGCAACCGTTTTGTCACAAGGACTGCACATACCAATGCTGTTATCAGCTACTAGACTCGCTGCAAGACTACCACAGCAAAGTTTAAAGACTTACGATAGAGGTGCACATAAAAACCAGATACAATACAGCACTTGAAAGCATCATTTGTGTGCTGAAGCAAATTAGATTTCTACTCTGTGTTGTCAAAATTCTTTCCACAGTATTTATTGTTTATGTGTTTGCCAGGTATATGTTTGGATTGTCATCAGTGCAGTATAGGATCACATTGTGTTTGGAGGCCAGAAATGCAACTTGGGGAAACGTCTTGGCTCACTAGTAATCTCTTTTCCTTCATCTCTGAATTCTTTGGTCTGTGTTTTTATCCACTTCCTTTTCTTCTCTCTCCCCGACACACTCAGTTTGTTTTTCTTATTATCTCAAAGTCCATCTTTCTGCCTTCCTCTTTTCTTTTCTATCCAGTAGTCACAGATCATTTCAACATGTGAGCTACATTATGTTACTAATGTGGCTTATATGTCCCTCTACCAGTTCACTGTCCCTCCTCGTCTCTCTGTCATATCCGGCCCCTCAGAAACCAAAACATCAGTTGATCCCCTCCATATGGCCGTAAAGGTAATCTGGGCTTTTCCAAAGACACACACCCTCGATAGAAATTCAAGTTAGATTTCCTCCAACTCTGAGTCAGCTGCAACAACAATGGACTTTCTCTCCTGTGAGGATCTTGCATTTTGGTAAATGATGGGGAAAAAAACGCTCAGTGGAGTGTGAGAGAGTTTAAGTTGAACAATGCTGCTGGATGTTTGTTGTGTTTTAGCGGGGCTTTAAGGTCAAGTTAATCGGCTTGCAGGTTTTTCACCAAAACACACATGCACACAATCAAAGACATAAACACATTTACCCACGCACGATGAAGTCAATTTAAGACTTTCTTATGGAACAGTGACAGAGAGTAGCAGTATTTTATGTCTAAAAGGGTAGCCTGCATGCTTGTGTGTGAGAATGTTAACATCTCTAGTGTTGACGCACGCATAAGGCATACATTCAAGTTTTGTTAAAGACATAATTGCGCACCGAACACAGAGTGCAGTGAAGAGAAGTGAGGAAGATAACCCTGTTTAGCCCTATGAGTTGCTCTATAAGAGGGACACAGAGAGAGGGACTCCATATTAAACAGCATCTGTGATACAATGCCGGCTTTGTCAGGTGGGAGGAGGAGAGGGTAATGCAGGAATGTAAGGGGAGGGGATGTTAGAAAGAGACAGAGAGATGGAGAAAGAGAGAGATAAAGGCACAGAGATGAGTGTGACGAGGGTGAAGACACAGCATTTAAAGCTTAAATGGCAGATGAAACACATCAGGAGCATAAGAGAAGAAACCAGGTGGAAAGACAGCAGATACAGGTCATCAAAAACAATGGACAAAGATGAGACTGAGAGCAATTGACAAGAAAAATGTGAAAGATATTTGTTCTTAACATTTTGGGAAATAGGATTACAGATTCATCAAGGTGCTGCAGGCACAATCAACACTCAGACACGCACATGAACACGACACAATATATAGATATTGGGCACAGTAACAGAATACTCTACAATCATACTGCATGGCAAACATTGGTTTCCAAAACCCAAAGACTTGGAGAACAGTTCCAAAACCAGCATTTTGGAAATTATCTGTTGTCTTTACACCAATGAAGTCATTTCTTTAGAGCTGGCCAGGTTGCATATATATATGGGGAAAAAAGATGCAATAGGAACCGAAGCAACAGATGTAACAGTTCCAGCCTGTCATATAGTCTTTCAAAGGTTGTGCAAAGAAGTTGACCAGACCAATGAGTAAATCTGTGCACTCCTCAGCACCTGGAACTCATGGTGCTCTTTGTAAAACTGTCTTTTGCATGTGAAGGTGGCCAAATTTTATTTCTGTAGCAAAAACGCCTAAAACCATCTTAACAGTCACCTTGACTGCAGCTAGTGTATCATTATTCCCACCCCCATCTCCATTAGTTGGTCAAGTTTATACCCCAGCAGCCCATATATCATCTTAAGAAGCTGTCTGCCTTGAAACACCCTCAAGCCTAAGGCCAATGTAAGCTATCTAAATAAAGCAGCCACATGCACCGAAGACGCAGATGGCCAACTTGGACTATCTGCATTAAAAGTAAAAAAGAAGAATCCTGATGGTTTGTCTGTTGCATGTTTCACTCTAGTGTGCTCTCTGTTTTCTGACAATGTTATTAATTAACCTACAAAATGACCATTTGTATATAGTCAACCTGTGTTACCTTGAATTCATGAGGAAAACATTTTTCTCACATTCTATTGGTGAACACATTCTCATTTATCCAGCTCAGTACTTCCCAAACATGCATTTTCACTAAAACCTTACTATCTAAAATACTTCCTTACACAAAGAGCACACCTGGGTAAGCATGTGCGTTTGAACTCCGCTTGTGCATTTCTCTGAGGCGTGCTTCTTGTCCATGTGTATCATATATTTTATTCTAAAAAACGCCATATAGAAGATTTAACCCAACATCATGAGCTTATTGTTTTTGACAGACACACACATGTGAGCGAGTTAAATGTCCCAACTTCTAAGTGCACTAAAAAGAATCTGTTTCACATCAGTGGCATTAACAACAAGCTGAAGTGTCCCGAGAATGCAGCCTGCAACAGAAACAGACAGAAACAACAACGCAGAAGGTAATTGAAACAGAGAGAAAGACTAAACAGATGTAGAGGAAAGACAAACAGAGGAGGGACTGGACAGAGAGATGAAAGGAGGGAATGAAGAAAAAGTATGAAATGAAACAGTCTGAGAATGCTGGATCTGCTCTTCTGGTTTTATGAGTCCTCTCTCTATCCTCCATCGCTTTCTCTTTTTCCATCACCCCGCATTTCTAACCCCATCTCTGTCGCCAGATGCAGGGCAAACAGAGCATTTTGGGGAGACTCAGCTGTTCTACAGATGGGATCAAAGAGGGACTGTGTGTGTATGCAGTTTCTTGTACTTGTCTTCTTGTGTTTTTAAAAACATCATGTATGTTTAAATTTGTCTTAGCTGGTCTTCAGTTCTATAAAGGGGGAGTTCAGGTGTAAACCAGATTTAGTGTTAAAGTATTAAAAGTAGGTCAGGGCTGTGAGTTTAGGATATTTTCCCATAAAAGGAAAAAATACATTTGAAACATCCCCAGTCTTCCACTCCATTACAGGAGTTAGTTTGTAATCAAATGTGGAATTTTACTCTGCTGGACCTTCTTTCCCTCAGTCTGCCTCAAATGTTACTTAATACCAGAACCTGATAGTAATTATTCACATATATTATAACATATTCTGTCATCAAACTCCGTTGTAGCTGGGGCGTCGCCGCGTCGGTGGCTTAGTGGTAGAGCAGGCGCCCCATGTACAAGGCTGTTGCCGCATCGGCCCGGGTTCGACTCCAGCCTGTGGCCCTTTGCTGCAGGTCACCCCCTCTCTCTCTCTCTCCCCCTTTCACACTTGTCTGTCCTATCAATTAAAGGCTAAAATGCCCAAAAACATTTCTAAAAAATAAAAAAATTAAAAAAAACTCTGTTGTAGCTGTAATGATACTGTGACATCCTGACAAGTTAATGTAAGGCCAGAGATAGAAAAACTAGCTGTCCTACTGTTAACCAAGTGGCAACCTCTAGGGCTAAAAAAACAAAGCCAATGCTGAAGTGCCAAAAACTGCAGTTCCCTCAATGGCCACTTGAGGCTAGCGCTGTCAGAATGAGACCTAAACTCCAGAAATGAATTCGCATTTTATCTCTCCCTGTTCCTTGGTCTCAAAGTCAATAGGTTTTTTGAAAATGGGTTTTGGTTCAATGTCTAAAATAAGGTCTGTTTATAACACAAGCTTAGGAGACTTTCACATTTTGTTCTACGGCATAAAATACATCAGTAAATACCCCACTTGTAAACTTTGAAACTTCTATGTGTCTTCAAAAAGATGGTTGCTAACAAGTGGCTAGATGAGACTACAGAACGTCATGTACCAAGCTGCACCAAATTCAGCTTTACAGTTTTATTATGGTGATGACATTATCATATAACTCGCCGTTTGCATTTTATTTAGGCTTAAAGTTACGCATATGAGCAGGAATACTTGAGCGACAGGCTGTCTGTAAGACATTGGTACAATCTATGAGTCCAATCCACCACTCACTCCTCCACAGCTCCATTCTCTTGTCCAAATATGGTCACTTCTGGCTTCAAAAAACAAAGATGGTGACAGCCAAAATGCCAGACTCAAGGACTAGAGGGAGTCCACAAACCTAAAGGTTGTAGCATCATTGCTTTATACAGTCTATGCTCTTAGTATACTCTCAATGGGTTCCTCAGACCAGCTATAATCTATTTTTGTGGTCACTTTGGGGCAATAGGCAAAATACAGCTTCAACATATCTTATCATCTCATACACATAAGGCAAACACAGCAACATTCGCATTCATTTGGAGTCTTGTCTCTGACCAGCTGATGAGTATAAATCCAGTATTCACTCTCTTTTAGCTTTTGGTCTCTACCATTTCCTTGATCTGGCTCTTTAGCTACTAAATGCTCCACTATGATCACCAACTATGAGCTGAACGACGCTAAATAGGAGAGAGTCGAGTGGAAATTCTCTGTGGGTTTGCCACAAGAAGCAATTCCTTTTACATTATATATAATTGTTTCATGTATTAGCAATTCCAAGATTTTGTTTAGCACAGCTTTAAAGGTTCGGGAAATAACAGCAAGTTTCTTTACAAGCACATCTTTATATATATTCAAGTGTCTCTATAAGCCTGCAAATACCTAGACCATCCAGTAATCTCAAACTTCTCCAGCTGTCTAGTTCAGACACCCTGATAGCACCAGGTTTGGTGATTGGAGATTGTGGAGATCCCTCAGGATACCAGAGCTGAAATCTGCTAAATCTAGAAGGGGGGTTGACTCACCTCACCTCTCTGCTTAAACTGGAGCACAACAAGGCCAAAGACTTGTCTTGACCTGCCCACAGTGAAGCTCAGAAGGAGAAGTGGGAGCTGTGGAAAAAAAAGAGACAATGAGGAGGCACGATGGCATATGACAAAAGGGGAGAGTCTAAGAGGTGGGAAAGGACATACAGGAAGGAAGCGGGAGGAGACGGTTGGAAAAAAAGAGAACAGTCTTGTCACTATACTCAAAACAGTCCCACTGAACTTTGAAATGTGACTTTGATCTCCATTTTCATCTGGTCTCTGCAGCACCTTTGCAATTTGTCCGGCTGATGTTGCCATCATACACCGCGTGTTTGCTTTGTCTACACTAGTGATGAAAAAAAATCAGTGGAATGTGGGGCCTCATATCTGCATGCGATAACAAAAAGAGCTGATGCGTGACTTTATTTGTGGATGTTTGCGTGTGCATAGGGGTTGCAAGGGTGGCTGAATTGCGAAGAATAGCAAGTGTGTGAGCGAGTGTGTTTAAAGGCAATAAGGGTGTCAGTGCAGTGAAGGAAGTGACCTCAGAGGGGAAGTTGGCGCTGAATTAGAGGAAGTGGTATGGAGCTGGCTTTGATTTGCGCTTCCTCTTCTGGAGATTGGGTGAAAAAGGAAAAGAGAGGAGAATTTGAGGAGGCAGGAGGGTGGCACATAGAGAAGAGAAATGAAAGAAAGACAGGAGGAAGAGCTGGAAAAACAGTTGAAGAAATAGCAAAGAGCACTTTAGTAAAAGGAAGGAGAAGTATTGGAAACAAATCAGATACTAATCGTGAAAACTGAGGTGGATAATGTATATTATTACGGGATTATTACAGGATAACACGGAGAGAGCAGAGGAAGAGAGGAAGGAGATGACGGAAGGTGGAAATGGAGATGTGGTTAGGGTGGTTTCCCATGTGCTGTAATCATCCCTGCTTTGGTGTGAAGCATTTCACTCATCCGTCTGGGTGTTTGTGTCTGTGACTGTTTTTCCTTTTATTGAATTGTAGGGTACTGCAGGGGTTGTCCCTGGCACTGGATCTGAGTGTTTTTACTCAAACACACACACACATTTTTGAGGCAGTTTTGATTTTGTTTCCTCTTATCTCGCTGTGTTTTCATTCCTCTTTATAGTTTATCATTCTGTCTTTTTCTGCCAGTCTGATCCTACCCTGCTGTCTCAGAGTTTTCCCATGTCCTGCTATTTATTCCCACCATTAAGACATTTTGATTTTTCTTCTTGATCTTGGACTCCGCGGTCAACTAATACAAAATAAGAGTATTCATCACACTAAAGTCCTACTAGTGGCCCCTCGAGGCTGAAATGTCTGCTACACTCCACAAAGCATTGGTAAAGTGTTTACTGATGATTTTTCTGAGGTTTGTCATGAGCTGGACACTTAATCAAAAATAAAATGATTTACTTGAGAGCATGGATACGAGCAGCATCTGCCTTGTAGATGTCTTGACCAGTGGCACAAGAAGAAAGCTTATGGAGAATGGAAAGTGCTCACCTTCTGGGGAGCGTGAATGAACTCGGTGAAATTCATAAAAATCTGAAAGATTTTGATCGTGTTTGTGTGTGTGTGTGTGTGTGTGTGTGTGTGTGTGTGTGTAGAGGAGACGTCAGGGGACTGCCAAAATATTAGGGATCACCCTCTGGATACTATGAATGTCTATGCCAATATCAGGACAATCTGGACTATACCATAGTATCTTGCTGCGGACTTAAGCACTGGGCGTGTAGGTAATGCAACTGATTGACACTTACTTACTGTCATTTAGCTCTGTTGCTTTTTGGTGCAACACACACACACACACACACACACACATTTAAAGCACTAGGCAGTATAATGGCAGACTATAACCCTGTGGGAACTCTGTTTTCATGGAACATTTCTACCACTCCTTCCCACTGCAAACCAGCTTTTGTGTGCCTGTGTGTGTAGTTTTCCTCTCTAATGGTATTTTCCCTCTGGAACACTTTCACACGGAGTGTTCCTCTCATGTGGCAGCTGGGCACAGTTGTTTTTTTTCTTTGTGTGTGTGTGTGTGTGTAGCTGTGCATGGGCATAATGATTTGCGCAGATGTGTACAACAACTCGTGTGTACTTTCTTGACCCTGCTCTCACATGTGTATGTCATGTTTGCTTACATGCTGGTATGCAGTACCATTTTCAGCATAGGCATTTAGTGTGTGAATAATTACATGTGCGGTCTGAGCTTATTTTCCCTTCTCTCTCATCCGTGCTGCAGGACTCCGAGATGATGTTCCAACCAGAGTCAGATCAGATGTCCCCAGTTGAACCCAAGGTGACACAGTACACACACATACACATGCACAGAAACACACATACACACATTTTATATCATTTAGGATACTGTATTTCCCTTATATACTGTACTTAAAATAAATAAAGGTTAGAATTACCTTTCCACTCTGACTGATGCTTCTAGTCTCCACCTCTGGACCTGATTGACACTGGAAAGGGGCTGAAGGTCCAGACAGCCACGCCTCACCTGGTGAGCCTGGGGAGTGGGAGGCTGAGTATAGCAATCACCCTCTTGCCACTGAAAGAAGGTAAAACACACACACACTTGCAGCAGAGAAACACTCACATATTGGGTTAGGATTACCAGGCTATACAGTAACCATTCATCTTCCCCTGTCTTACAAATGCCCAGGATCATTGAGTTTTTAAATGAATGTAATTTCTCACAAGTCATGTAAAGCTGTCACCTGTGGTGAACCCAGACCTTCACAGTACTCTCCCTTCCCTCTCTGTCCCTCCCTCATTGCTTTGTTTCCCTGCCTTTCCCCCGCTCCCCTTCCCCTCTCTTTTTGCCCTCTCCCCGCCCACCCATCGCTTCATTTCCATGGTTACTGGAGAAGTGGGAGGGGGGCTATGACTGGGGAAAGTGATACTTAATGCTGGGTCGCAATAAAGTCAAGACAGGGAGCTAACATAGCTTCTTCCTACAAGGCTCCCTCGGACCGAAAACACATATTTAAACAAATTACTACATCCCTGGTTATTTATTTTTATTGTCAATGGGGACGAAAATTACCCCACTTACTGGTTAGTGCGCTGACTGAACCCAAAGTTAACCGTATAAAAATGAGGAAAACACTGCGCTTACAGACTGCAACCCAAACAACTATAAAAGAGAGATGACTCACGCTGTGGCTGCCTGACAGAGAGAGAGCACCATTCCATTAAACTAAAATAAAGACTGAAATCTACACTATTCCTCAGAGAAGTTGCACTAAAATAAGTTCAAACATGGCACACATGATGCTTACACACAAACACACACACACACTAGATGATTATGGTGACATCACTGCAGTGTATTTAAACGTATTTATAGTTTCTCTATCATCAGCCATCCACAGGTGGCTGCGCTCTCACTCTCACCTTCTCTTATGCTCACACATTCATTCATTACATCAGCAAGCCCTGGTGCCATAGCTTAATTACTATTCCAGCTAGTTAGCCAAACACATGATAGCAAAGAGATGGGAGCGAAGATATGGAGATTTACGACATGATATAACGAGAGGCACGCTTGTAGGACTTATTATAATTCAATAGCCTGCAGACAGTAGACGGGATACTAATACAAAGTGACTGACAGTAGATTAAAAGCATTAAAAGTAAGTGAGTGTCTGTCCTTGGCTAACACCGCTGACTCTCACATACACTCGTACAGTTAACATATCTTGTGGGAATCACAGAGCTCTCATTATGTCCCTAATGCAGAGAGACAGACACTTTTTGTTTTGCCTCCTCTCGGCCGTGAGAACAGTGCAGAGGAAAACTGTAATGGCTTTTAAATGGATGGATTTTTGACCTTTTTAAATAAAGCTGCGGTCAGTTTGATAAATTATTAACCACAGTCAGTCATACGTCCACAGTAATGCATATGAAGTGGTTGGTTAAGTGTGATATCAGCCACTTATGATTTACAGTATTACACAGTGGATGGTATTAAAATGATAGGAATATTTGACATTATTATGCTTCTTGGATAACCTCTACCACACTGCACACACGTTCACAGTTGCCTGGCTTGGTGTGCCCTTCCATTTCAGTGAGGAATGCCAACAATGTGAAAAGCCATTTAAGGAGAACTGAGGGTCTATTTTTCTCCAAAAAGAATAAACAGTTCAAGTTAATTATACTGAAGTACTCCTTATAAGTGTGGCTCACAGGCCACACATGGTTCAAAAAGACATGTGCGTCTTTGCGCTAGTTTAGTTTTACTTGTAAAGATGTTGTCTACAAGTAATCAGGTTTTCTTGGAGACAATATCAATCAAAGTTAATCTCAATTTTCTATAATTTTTATTGTGTATTGCTCGATGTTCCAGGGGTGACCCGCATCGGCAGAGAAGATGCTCCAGTTCCCCAGGACATCACCATCCAGGGGCCTGGCATCGAGGCAGAGCACTGTCTCATCATCAATGAAGGTTGATGTCAGTTCACTTTCTATGGAATGGATTCATAATATTGGCAGACCGATTAATTAACACTGTTATCTTTTCAGGACAGGCAAATGTGTACTTAAATTGCTACCCAGTTAGCGTCTGCACATTGCTAGGTGTGGGCCAAGGATTTGTTTAAATAACAAGGCTTTTCATTTTAGTTCAGTCGTTCTCAGAGTCTTTTGTTTTAAGAGGGTTAATATAACAAAGCTGCATCAGAGTCAGTTAGAATTACCATACCACACCGGTGTATGGGGATGAGGGTCGAGGGAAGTAGGGAAGAGGTTCGAGGGATGTGGAATGAAGGGATGAGGGTCGAAGGTATGATGTAGGGGATGTAGGGACAGAGAAGGAAGGAAGGTAGGGGTAATGAGGGTTGCGGACAGGTGTCAGCTGAAGGGAGGAGGGTGCAACGGAACCAGGGAAGTTGAGATAGGGTGGGGGAGTCATTAAGAAAAGGGGATTAAGGGGAGACAGATAAGGTGTGTTTAATTACCTTTAGATGACATTGAGGGGTGGTCTTTGTTCCCGAACTTAGATATAAAACTTGTTTCATGAAATGTGTTTCAAGATAAATATAGGAGTGGATGAACTTTAAAGCTGGATATCTCTCAGTACATTGTCAGTGTATGGTGTGGATGAAAGAAAGTGATCTTTAAAGAGAGAGGCAGAGTGATTGATTACACACTGTTTTTTTGTTCCTGTGTGATACATCCTGTATAATGACTTCGCTAAGCATTCAGCACGAAGCCTTGTAGTGAAGATAGAAATAGCATGGCTTTGTGTGTATGTTATAATTAAAATAGTTAGGAGTGATCTTTCAGCAGCGAGGCGCTGTTGAATAAGTGATGATGTAGAAATGTACAGATGCTTTACGTTGCACTGAAGGTATACTGATACCTTGCTTTCTCATCATTACCTGTAACACAGGAGGGGTGGTGACCCTTGACCCCTGTGGTCACCTTTGCAGTCTGGATGGAGTACAGGTTACTGTGCCCACACCACTCACACAGGGTAAGATCTAAGCACACTCACACACACTTGTTGTAGCTCAGTTTACTTACAGAAAGCGCCCATACAGTATATCAGGTGTTGGGGCCACACTTGTACATGCTTTGATATATTGCCACCTACTGGTCATTAAAATAGGTGGAGTGAAAGTTGACTTAACTGCATGGAGTGTGCATACTTTCTGTATTTCATAACTCCTGTGTGTGTGCATGCGTGTGTGTGACAGAGAGAGAGTGGTTAGTTTGTGGTTTGGTTAACTTGCATTCCGTTCGGTGTGTGTATGAATCACATGGGCACAGTTAACGTTGTGCTGACGTTCTGCATGGAAACAATGCGTGTGTGCGTGTGTGTGTGTGTGTGTATGTGTGTGTTTTCACATAAATGTATAGGCCTGTGTGTGTGTGTGTGTGTGTGTGTGTGTGTGTGAGCATTTCCACATGTTTGTGTGTGTGTTTTGAATGATGTAGTGCATGTGTGTGCACCTCTGGTTTGGTTTAATTCATTGTGGTTTGGATCAGCTCGCTGCTACAGTGAGTCACAGCTTCCAGCAACTGTGGAGCGCACACTGCACATCCAATTCTGTTACAGCAGCCTGCAGAAAACTTGCAAAACACACACACATGGTATCCTCCCATATCTGAATGCATGTATTTTCTTATCTTTCTGTCCTCCCCTGCCCACGTGTCTGTTTTTCGTCTGCCAGTATCCTGATCTGTTTACCTCTTGTCGAACTGCCCTCTCTGTTCTGCCAGGTTGCCTACACAGTTGCAGCTCTCTCCTTGTTTCACTGTTTTTGCTCTGAACTTTGCTTCTCCATCCTTTCTGTGTACCCTTTCCTCCTTTTTCATTGTGTCCTGTGTGGCCTAGCCATTTCAAGTTAAATATTGACAGGCCTATTTATCTTCTCGCTGTGCCTGGCTGATTCAAATATTGACATCATCTTGGTCTGTGTACACGCATGATGCCGGGGCTTTGTGAAGTCGCAGGGGTGGAGAAAAGGACTAAAAGAGAAAAGGGGTGTTTTTAAAAAAAGTCAAAAGGGCATGGTTAGGAAAATTATGGAGCGAGAGAAAGAGTGAACATCTTTCAGGAATATCCACTGGCCTCAGATGCTCTGGGTTGAGTTAGTCTAACCACACACACAAACACACTGACACACACACACTGACACATGCACACTGTGGGGCAGTCTGGAGATGATTAGCTATGTTTAGGAAGTGATCTGCTCTGTATTTGGGACTTCGGAGCTTGACCTGGAATCACATCAGCTTCACTTTCAACTCACTGGAACAGCTGTAAGTCACTTGTTGAGTAGTAATGTGTTCATACAGCATACTAAGCTTTCCAATGATGACAATGGAAATCATCATGTAGGAAAAACAACAGTGACAAGCCCTATAACTGCAGGCTTTGATCTTTCTAAATACTGTGAAAACCATTAGGGATAACATCTATTTCTGCATTTCCGATAGCATTTAAATGGAGTTTGGGTTTAAAACTCAATCTCCCACCATTCACACCGGTCTGCAGCAAATGCAAATCAAGCTGCTGAACAAAACACAGCTGCTCCAACAACCACTCTGCCTCTCCTTGCTGTACCATGCAATGGAAATGAGGCTATATACACACACGCATCTGCACGCATGATAAAAAGCAGTGCTCTAGCTGTCAATGGGTTCATGTGTTGAAATACATGCAGATAACAAAGCATCTAAAAGAAACAAGAAACAGTTGGTGAGAGCACCCTTGACACGGGCAGGGGAGCAAAGTTAGCCAGTCAGTCTGCCAAGCATACCCCCCAAATCTGCTCTTTGTCAACTGTTGCTTTGTTTCAGAAGTCAGTATATTTGCCTCTTAAATGAATTAGTTTGTCATTGTAATAAAAGAAAGCCATCAGTTTAATATGTTTTGTGTGTGAGTCTCTGTAGCCCAGTTGTTTTGGGTTACACTCGTCCAAGGTATTTCAAAGACAACAGGGAGAAAATAGGTAGGTAGACAAAGGAAGGCTGAGGGGGCGTCCACCAAATACCTCACTGTCTAATAGCTTGTGACCCTACCATCTGCAGATAGGGGTGTTGGCGTATCACACCGATAGTTTACATGTGGTTTTACTTATTTACACATGTTTTTCCTTTTAAAATAGTCGTTTTGGTGTTATTAATCTACAACAGTGGTATTGGATTTCTCAACAGTATTTAAACACCATTCGTTTTGATAAACATTGAGCATCTTACCCCCTCTCTACCGAGAGTTGGTACAGTCCAGTACTCAGACTCGTGGATGGTAAATCAGTGAACTTTCTTCGACACGGAGTGAAGCGGGGTGAGGAGATATCACAGCTGAGGAGGCAAATAACGACACAGGGACCGGCAGGAGTGTAGATATATAAATATATTTTTATTTTCTGTTTTACATTTCTAGAAGGAGGCATTTTGAGGTCCTGTCATGAACATTTGTTAGACGTTAAAGGGAAGTCAGGAACAAGTCGTTGTGCTCACTGAATGGGACTCAAACGGTTTGTAACGGTTTTTTAAAATTAAGCTAACGTTAGCTCTTGTAAACAACGTAACAAAGTGCCGTAACATTTTCTCAGGCACTGTGGCACTGAGCTTTTTACCTTTTCCTGAATTAAATACGTTAGTGTTTTGTACCTATTTACGACGCCAAACACCTTACAGATGTAGTAAACTATTGTAGTTTCCCTTGAGATGCTATTTATCTATGTGAATGTGTTGTGAGTGTGTTTGATGCTAAAAATGGCTGTTTCACATTCAAACCAATGTTATCTACCATGTTTTCTGTGAGCACACTGTTTTGAAGCCAGCCTCACTTGCTCTTTGAACAGGTTAAGCAATGTTATCCCCATCAATCCACACATGTGTGTATTTAAGGCTTTGTCTCATGACACTTAAATCTGCAGGGTTGGCTTCTATTATCACCCAGGATAAACAGCATTTGCTCATCAGCAGATATTATTGATTTTCCTTTAAAAGAAAGCCCTTCTGATTGTCCCATCTGTCCCATCTGTCACCATGTATCAATGGAAATACTACTGCACTAATCTGAAAATGAGCTGATGTCTGCCTGTTTTTATTTATCAACCATACGCTTTTTTAATTAGCCTTTTTACATGTCAGGAATGATATAAGACTGTAAAGCACATGCCTTTTTGTTTAAGGAGTGGAGGTGTGAATCAGTGCTGCTATTTAATGCGGTCCAAGCCGGTCAGTGGTGAAAGTCAGATTTCCTCTTCGCAGCCAATTTTTTGAGGTGTTCCATCTCAACCTGTTGGCTGCTGCTGCTTTTTGATAGTGTGCATGCCTCAGGGTCGTAAACTAGCAGCCAAGTTCACATACTGGTGTGGCTGCATGTGACAAAGAGAACTAGCCCATGGCTGTGAGGACGGGTTCAGTGTTAATGTTACCTGACACCTGAAAACAAAACCTGCTTCATTGTCCTGGATGCTATTGTGTCCGCAAGTCTTTCTTCTGGCTGCCTCAAGCACATTTGGGCTTTTTTAAAAACAAAACAAAAAAAACAGATAAATAAGAAATAAGTCATATTATGAGTGTGGTTTTTGTGTTATCTTTCTGTATTTTCTCTGTGATAGATTAGGGGTAGTTTATGGTTTACCCGTGGTTGTCCTTAGACTTGCAACCCTCTCTTGAGAGAAGTGGGGTGGGTCAATGAAGTGATGCTCTGTGGACTAGATTTGAGATAAAGCACAGACCAGATATCTACTGAGCCTCTGGTGAGGAGCCAGAATATGTGTGTGTGTGTATATATATATGAGAGAGAAAGTGCGAGTGACTGACTGAACTAATCCACACGGACTCCCCTGAGAAAGACCAGTCTGTTTTTTTATGATGTTACTGCAGGACCCTTGTCCCCCAGAGAGGGTTCATTTGTGGTTTTGAGGCCAATTTACACTCCCACTGGGACCTTGTGTGTATGCATCTTTTCATGAATGAGTAAATTCAGCTTTTGGTACCATGTAGAATGAAGGGATCATAGCAACATTTAGAAGGCAGCCAGTTTTTTAAATAGTTTATGTATCTTGGTAAAACACATAGGGCATCTTTTTTGGTGATTACTTGTGATTACTTTGCATGTCAAACCTGACCAATTAGTTTCAGTTCAGAGTTTCATCCTGTTCGACATGGGATCTTCATTGGTTTATTTTTCATTCTGACCCAATGGTCACAATTTGCTGATTCCCCCACTTATGTTAACCAAATATAGAAACAGTTTTGAGTTTCCCCTTCCATAACATTGTGGTGAGAGCGTAGTTTGGTTCGCTGTGATCTACATGGAAACAAAAATTGGCTCCAGACGTGATACGGTTCCTACATCTGTGCCCTCAAAGACTCTGAGGTCTGACTTTGTAGATCACAAACTTTAAATTATCCCCATAAATGTATATACAGACTAATTTCCAGTTTCGCTGGAGAGGGTCTGTGCATGTGTGTATTGGGGGGGGGGTGCATGCTTTGACGTGGGAGGCAAACTCAATTAGCTGGCAAACAAGTAAACACGTGAATGAGATCAAAATGTGTTGTGCCTGGTATGTCTTTGTGAGTGTGTGTGCAGAGGGCAGTGGGCATGTGTTTATGTGCAAGTTATTTAGGACAGCAGACTTAAATTTAGTTTGTATGCAAGCAGTTAAGATTAGCATTTTTTGGTTGGATGTAGCGCATGCTGTGAGCTCTCTTGTACTTAAATCAGAGATGTATTTTAGGAGTAAGGGTTAGGGAAAGGTCAGCATTTTTTTTCTGTTTAACTAATAATCCAGCTTTGTGTGTCTGAAAGAGCAAGAGGAGATCTAAAAGTTGAATCAGCTGGTTTTACATTTTAAAAATACTGTTGCTAAATTCCCCCGTCTCCCCCTTTTTTCCTCTGTCACAAACACACACACTGCTTTTATTTGTTTATGCCCAAGATGTGCAGGAGGAGAGGATTAGCTAGTGGTTATTTGTTAGCTAAGAGGTCCTGTGGGGAAATTAGATAGACACGAGGGGTGGGGGCTGTGAACAAATCAGGGCAACACACTTTACCCTCCACTTTAAAGGTGGCACATGGTGAGGCTATTGAGAGTAGGAAATTAGATTTTTACAAGAGCTGACTGCTGGCAAAGAGTGTGAGTGTGCTTGTGCCTCTGTGTTTGCTGTCCTGCTAAATACTGAGAGTTACTGTGAGTCATTAGGTAGACACTGCTACGCGACATGTTCCCACACTGACACACACAGCATGCACAACATTTTGAAGACACACATTACTCATGTCTGACAGTGAGAAACACATATTATTAGATCTTGCTCACACTAACCTTCATGCTAACATGTGTGTGTTTCTGTCTTCTTGTACTCGCAAGACGCACATCTTTAGATTTCTCTATCACAGTGCCCCTGCTTCACAGTTTGCACCCAAACCTGCAAGATTGTGTTTACACCAGTATGTATTTGAGAAGTTCACAGTCCAGCTGTGCAGACTAAACATTTCTTACACTGTTTTCATGTGTGTGGTGTTAGCTCCACCTCACCACAGCACTCAGGTCCCCCCCCCCACTGTGTTGAGAAATTACAGCTTTGATGGCAGTAAAGAATCCGCTCTCTCGGCACACTAAGGCCACGTCTAGACAGATACAACCTCTTAAAACTAAACTATAATCTGAAATTAGGCTTTTAACATGATGTTTCAGTGGAGGTGTTGGGGAAACGAGTGAGAAAGGAAAAGGCAAAAGTGAAATGAGAATGAGAGAGGGGGGAAAAGAAAGAAAAACAACTGACATTTTTCCATTTAGTCTTTTTCCATTCGCCCTCTCGCTATCCCCCCTCTTGCCTCAGTAGCTGTGTCTGACTTCAGGTCCAAGGAATCTGATGTAACTGTAATGGAGCTATTAAGGAGGTGCTTTTTTTTAGCCTATTACACACATGCTAACATTGTGGGGGTTTACTGTAATGCTTATCTGAACCTTCTACCTCCAGGGCTGGAGGTTTGAAGAATGAAGCGAGAAAGGAGATTGCGTGTGTGTGTGATAAGACAGGCAAATAAGAGCGAACTCTTTGTTTATTAGCCAGTCTTGTGATTTACTCTCCTCTTTGCTGTCTTCTCCTTTTTGCATCACTGTGGTCTCTTTGTTTCTTATTTTTGCTGTCCACTTTCTCACTTTCCCTGCGTCAGATCCCCTATGTGTGTGTCAGCACTGGTGTCTTTCTCCCTTCCCTTCTGAGGTATTTGGACAGCTGTGGCTGTCTGTGTGTATTACAGAGGTTGTGACCCTGACATCTTGTTTAATACCTGGCCCTCTCAGCCTAATTGATGGCCAGAGCAAACACTGTGGTCTGGAATGGCTGGCTGTGCACGAGTGTGTGAGAGACTGTGTTTCTGGCTGTGAATAAATACTTCAGGCTCATACCAATATGAAACTGTACTTTATGAGTGCCTCTTCATATGTAGTGTATAATGTATCCCTAATATATATGGCACCGTTGTCTAACTTGTTTTGTATTCAACCTCAGTCAAAGTAAGTATGAGTTGTATCTCTAGTTTCACCCCGTGTGTCTGTGTGTTTTCTCTCCAGGTTATTCCCTGTGTCTGGGTAAGTCCTATTTCTTCCGCTTCAATCACCCTGAGGAGGCAAACAGAATGAAGAGCATGCTTCCACAGAAGAGCCCCGTGTCAGCTTTAGCCTACAACACAGGTATACACACACACACACACACACACACACACACACACACACACACACACAGAGAAAGGGGGGCTGGTAAAACCCTTTCCTGACCCATAACCTGCACTTGATCCCTGTTCTTTTTCTTTGATCCTCCTCTCTGTCTTTGTTCTCCGACATCACCAACTCATCTTCCTCCTCCCTCTCCCTTTTCATCATCTCGTCTATCTGCTTTTCACCCGCGCTCTGCCTGTAGTTCATCATCATTTTATTCTCCTTATGTAACATCTGACATGAACATGTTTGCTCCTGTGCCCTGGCAGGGACCTCAGGGTAAAGTCACAGGTAGTCGTGACCCAGACAGGTGTGTGACATTGGGATGTTAGTCTTGAGTGCGTGTGTTAGAAAGCTTGAAGGGTAGGGTGGAGGCAGGTATGTCTTTCAGTCCTCACATCTGTCTTTCCTAAACATACGCTCTCTCTGTCACACATGCTAAACCTTAAATTCAAAGCATATTGGAATGTTATTGTCATCTGGTGCCTGTGCATTTCCATGGTGATACAGCTGGACTCCGCTGTCTTCTTTGTGATTGATCAGACTTTGAGCAAGGTGTGTGTGTCTGTGTGTGTGTGTGTGTGTGTGTGTGTGTGTGTGTGCCATAATCAGTGGAGTCCTTGCTCTTTAAACTTCTAGACATGAGGAGTGCACTCCTCTCTCCTCTGCTTCACTGATGTTTTTGTAGAAATAGCTCACATCTCTTTCACACACACTTTGCAAACAGAAAGTTATTATCCTCCAGATTGCCAAGACTCACACTCTTAACACGTGCACCTACAACAAAGATTGCCACACAAAGCAAAAGAAGCTGGGCATGGAGGAGAATAGTCACGATAGAAGGGAGTTGATGCACGCCAGGCCTCCAGCATAATTCTGCCCATGTATGGACACAAACACCCTGCGCGTGTGTGTCTGTGTGTTTCTAGGTCTTATGATGTCTTTCATTTTCTGCCCCATTTCTCTCCACTGTGTACTGTTTGACATTTTCTCACACAGGCTTATATTCAGCTACAACAAGGGTTTTTAGTTACTCCAGTTTCTCTGACAATATAACTCAACAAAGCAGTAGTAATTTAACATTCTAACATATGCTTAAATTCTTCAACACTTTTGCACACTCTTGGCATGTACACATATGTGTGTTTCTCTCAGGCGGAGCCACAGTTTTCAGTTGTAGGAAAACTTTTTTTTTTTTTTTGGTGTGTGTGGGCGTGTGTGACACTTAAACACTGGGTGGTCTAAGCTTGAAAATTGTAATAGCTCCTTTTCCACATAAAGCCGCAGATGAATTAACAACACTGGGCAGGTTCTCACATATTGCTTCTTCCTACCCTCTTCTTTGTGTTACCTGCATTTTTGATGACAGGATATTATTCAGAGTTGTTTTTTTTTTTTTAAATTCTGCACAAAAAAGCAGAACGAGTGCTATCAATCAAAAATACTCCTTCCAACCCCAGCAATCCTTTACCAAAAATAGTCTTTGTCTGATTTGTCTTGGTAAGATTTAGCAGGAAGGAAGTTAAAACGGACTTAGTTGAGGTTTGGAAAAAGACCCCCTTACTGCTGAAACTGCTTTAAATAAAAGGCTTTAGGAAAGGCGGGGGGCCCCTTGAGGGTATTCCAGAATATTTTGTGGTCTTTTTCATTTCCCAAAATCCTACTCTCAAGGAACTGAACCCAAGTTAGAGTTAAAATATTTGTCTTGGATCTAATGGATGGTTTTGTGCAGTGTGCGTGTGTGTATGGGGGTTGACTCGTATTCTGGGTGATTTGCTGCCAGTTGCAGATTGTTTGGGTTGGGTTTGCTCTGCCAATAGCCCCATCTACGAATAGCTGTAGCTTCAGGTACATACACAACTGCTCTCTTACTCCCTTTCTCTCCTCTGCCACTATTTATGACTCTGTGCTCCTCCCTCGTTTCATTCTTCTCCCTTCTTCTTTTCCTGTTGCTGATCTTTTTTCTCAATTTTCCACAAACTGAACGGAGAAGAATGTAACGTCCATGTCTAGATATATATATGAATCTCCACTGCACATTGCAAGTTACTTGTATTTGCCCTTAGTTTTCCTTTCTCATTGCTCACAATCTCACTCCATATTCCTCTCTGTTCCTCTTACCCATGAATGCTAACCTTTATTTGCATATTACCCATATTTTACATTTAATTTCTTTTCCATTTTGACTTTCTCCGCACCTCCAGACTACCTGAAGTTTAGCAGTGACTATAGCCATGCGGTGGTGGGTGGCACCAGCAGTGCCAGGGGCATGCGATCAGCCTCTGAGCTCAGGGACTTGATGGACACCCTGCAGCGTAAGAAGATTGCCCTGGAGAACAGCCTGAGAGCCAACGGGAATGCGAACCCCTCCTACTTCAGCGTGACACAGGTCAGCCATCATTTAGCTCCACTTCAGGATTTATTATGTTGCTTTCTACGTAATGCCCCAACAGAGCTTGTAGAGTCTATATGGTTAGCCTGGATGTTTGTCTTAGGGGAAACAGAGCTAACTAGGGTTTACTTATTATCTACAGGACTTAATATGGCTAACCAGGGTTTACCCCTTGTCTTGTAGTCCACTACAATGTTTAACAGGCAACACAAGATTTACTCGTAACTCTTGTTTCTGTCACAAAGCTTGAGTGGAGGTCTGCTTATATTTTATATGCATCAGGTATTATGTTAAGATTGCATTTTAAGTATTTTCTATTGTAACATATATATATATTTTATTTTATCTCTCAGTCTCCCCCCACCACACCTATCACGAGTCCTGCCACATCCTCATCATCCTACCAGGAACAGGCAAGACGTCTCTATGGCTCAGATCGTGCACCCATGTCTTTAAAATCTGCTCCCCCTCTTTCCCCTGGACGACGATCTGACTCTTCTCTGACCTCCCGCATTTCAAGCAGTCGCAACCAGGACAACTACGGCATTAGCGATGGCCGGCGTTTGCACAACCCGGGCTCTTCTTCTTTACTGTCCACATGGAATGGCGGCGGCTCCTCTACTTCTGTTGATGGTAGCAACAGTTTCCTCCTGTCTCTTCCTCCCTCCTCCTCCTCACCCCGCACTCCATCAACGGGAGGTGCAGCCAGCATGCCCTCAAGCCCCCGTCTTGGCCGCCGTAGCTACGGCAACCAAGAGCCATCGCCCAGCAGCAGAACCAGGAAATACTCAGCGGGCTCGCTAAGTGGTATGATGGGAGGAGGGCACAGCCGCTCACTGCCACGCCTCTGCCCCTCCCAGTCCCCCAGTGACAACAACAACGGAGTTCTGACCTTGTCAACGCTCCCCCCACGGCGTTCCGATGTTGCTGGCAGTTACAAATTTAGCAAAGATCATTACAACAACAGCCAGAATGCCAGCCCTGACCTCAACCACAACTCTAGTAACTCTAGCCAGCTCTCATCCAACAAGAATCAAATCCAGACCACAAAAGGAGAAAGTGTTGTGTCTATCTCACTCTCTTCCCCTAAGAGCTCTGCCTCCACCACCCCCTCTATCTCTTCCACAAACGCCCCACCTGATGTGACCATCCCATCCAGAGCGGGGGGCTCCTCTTCTCCTCGAGTGGCCAAAAAACTCAGCCTGACCTCCACTAGCTCTGTTGGCTCCATCAGCTCCACCAGTTCCAGCCCCCCAGAGCTGGAGCGGGTGGCCAACCGTGGAGTCTCCCCAGGAGTGGGCCTGACTTTGGGGGAAAGGGAGAGGCGAGGGGTGGGCTTAGAGCTTTCTGGTGGCCTGGGGCTTGGACTTGGAGAGAGGAGGTCTTCATTTGGGAAGGCGGGGCTGGAACCTGGGATGGGGCTGGGTGAGAGGAAGCAGTCATTTGGAAAGGCAGGAGTGACCCCACCTGGAGGTTTCAGGGAAAGAAGGGGGAGCATCAGCTCACTGAGTGGGAAGGAGGAACTGACCGACTACCACCAACACCAAAAAGAGGAGAGACTCCGTGAGCAGGAGGTGGAGAGACTGGTGAGTTTGTGTTTGCTCACGTGGCTTTCTCTGTTTGAACAGAGGACACCAAATTTTCCTCATGTCCCCAGTGTCTGCATATTCAAATTATGGAAATATGTTGTCATTTGGATCACATGACATTGTATAGATGTGACCTATGATACAGACCCCATCCTGTAGTGTAATGTGTAAATTAGTTAAGCTTACAGATGGACAGACTGTTTGCAGGTGAACACTCTGTTCTCGTAAGATGACTGAAGGAAAATAGGGGAATATGTTCAAATTTGCAGTGGAAGATTGCTATTGTTTTGCATACACATGCAATCACACAAATAAAGTGAAATGAGTTCAGGAATGCATCCCTTCACATTAACCTCCTCCTTGTCCCCTCAAACATACTCTCCCAGGGATCTTAACACACACACACACACACACACACACACACTGAGGTTCACCACTCCACAGATGCCTCTGGCAGTTAGCCCATACTAACAGGGCTATTCTTAACCTTGTGCTTGGATTGTGTATGTGTGTATGTGTGGTGCGTGTTTATGTCAGTCATCTGGAGGTCCGCCCAGTGTGGTTCGGACCACTGAAGAGCCACAGAACACATCAGTCACATGTGGGTTAGTGAAACCAAGAAGATTAGAGAGCAGAGTTGTAGTGTAGCAGGTGGATAAACACACAGATGCTCAGCATATAATAATGACAGCTGGACTCGTACTGCCACTATCCTTCCCTCTGTAAATCGCTCTCGCTTTCACACAGTCATATTCTGCTAAGTAAAGTGGTGACTGTGAGAAATCGTTTTCTGGATGCTGTACAAACCAAATTATGTTTCACAAGCTTCTCAGTGGCTTTCAGCTGGCCTCCAGATATTTTTGATTGTAGTAATATTTGCAAGATGAAGTAGTGTGGACATGCCACTCCCTCTCTGATCAGAGTGCACTTTAATGTCAAGAAGGAACATTTATTTAAACCCAGCCATGTTGCATTTGAAGTTGATTGATTCACAACCATTTGTTTTTAGTTTGTGCCCCAATCTATAAAATAACAGCCACTCGTTAGGTACAGTAAATGATGTATTCTAATTGGCTTAATCAAACAGTTATTTGAGTATCTGTATTTAAGTGTCAAAATTATCAATACCTTTAAAATATGTTTCGAATAACAGCTTTGAGTGATTGATCCTAACTGATTTTAACGGCATTGTGAGAAAGCCACCTGCAGAATCGGTGTTCAAGACTCAAGCTTGGGAAAGCATTGCCTTAACCTTGTCTGCCCTCTAGTGGCACTACAGGAAACCTACATCCTACAAAAGGAAGGGAAATAACAGCTAACAAGATTAATATTTAGGATCTGCAGTTTTAATACATTTGATATGGTTTGGTTAAGTTTAAGTTATTATTCCATCAGTCCATATTTACAAAGTGTCATTTACCATAGTACTGTATTATGTCTTGTTAGTGTAACTAGTTTGGAGTTTACAGGACTGAAAGCAAAGCATAACTGTAATGGCTACTAAAAACGGAGCACTGAAAGGTGATCATGACGAATAGAATAAGACGGATTAAAGAGACAGAGAGATTAAAGTAAGAGTGTGATTGATTTCCATTTTCCCCATTTCTCTCTGCTTTTTATTTCCCCTGAAAAGCACAGCAGGTTAGAGAGATCAGAATACTTTAATTCCAGCACTCCACTTTTTGTCCACTGTCAGCCCAAAGCCCCGGCTCATATTTCCTAACTTGTTACCCCTCTTTCTATTTCCTCACACTTTCTCCTGCTATTTTTCCTGTCTTTGATTTTCTCTCCATCTTTCTATCTCCATCTTTATTCTTTCAGTGTGTCTCCCTCTCTCCATCTGTCTTTCTCTAGTTGACAGCTGATTACTTTAAGGGCTCCACAGAGGCTTGTGTCTATTAGAATAGAACAAGGTGACAAACTGACACAGGCTTGTTTTGCCTCAGCCCCTGGTTACCATTACACGCTATAAATGGGCTTTATATGTTTGTTTGTTTGTGTGCATTCACACATCTATACAAAAGATAATTCCCCTGGTAAACAAATTGTATTCTGATTAATTATTTTATGTTGATTTAAATTAATAACGGTTTTATGTTTCATTTCTAAAATAACTGGTTAAATGATGAGCAATATAATGTATGTGTAGTGCTTGAATGCTTTTCTTAAATAGGATATCTCTCTTCAGGCTTTCTAATCTGGCAGATAACTGTCTTAAGACTTTCAAAGTCCAAACTTCACCTGGTTCAGATTCCTTCCTAGAGCACATTTCCCTGGAAAGTGTCTTGTTTCCTTAGCGGCAGTACACACAGACACATTCCTGTGTCCTGAGTCATTCTTGTGCACACATCTGATCATAGTTGACAGCTGTCTGCCTTCTCATTAGCTTACTCTTTCTCTCTCCCTCATACACACACATTCACACACCTCTGCTCCACGTTCTTCTTTTTCTAACCTCCCTCTTTCCACCTCTAATATTACACACACAGGCTTGCCGTGTAGCTTACACACCTCTCCCTCCAGAGAAGCAACTGCTGAACCTATGAGGGGGTATTTTGACTGTGTGCAGCCTCCGTAGCTCCCCCATATTGCTGTGTTCAGGCAGGCAGAACTGTGGGAAGGGGAAGTCTTGCTCCAGGGATTCATAGTTAGAAGAAATATACTTTCTAGACTACACAAATTATATACTAATCTTGAGTATGTGGATTACAAACAACATCAAATAGGATGGCACTGAGTGTATTTTGGACTAAACAAGGACATTTAAACTAGAGGGATTCACTTCCACGATGCTTCCCCAGGTAACTTGAGCATTGGAAACTTGATTTTATGACAGAAAGAAATAATACTAGATGAGCTGCTGTGACTCTCGCTCTAGTATGGTACATAACAAGTACATTTATTTTAACCGATTTTGCAAACGCAAATGCATGTATGTGAAGAAAAATAAGATGTCAGAATCAGCGTGAAATAGCACAAAATTTGTTGCATACTGGTTTTGAATAGTTAACATCTGACTAATAGAAATGACATGGAAATTTAGGTACTACCTGAAATCATTTATACTCTATTTGTTGTCTGACATATCTCACCTTCAGTGCGCTCATTCAGCACCACTACAAGTCTGTGTTGTTTTAGAGCACAGGTTTATATTGTATTTGTGTAGCGCCCCAACACTCTATAGTGTGTCTAGGAGACTGACTGGGTTCAGTAGGGAACTTTGCTTTTGTCACTCAAGGTAGCTACTATGAAGGTTTTGAAGTAAAATTATCACGACCTGCCACTTAGAAATACATCTTTTTTTAAATAACCTCTCCTAAACAACATCATACATAATAATAATGAGCTGACACTAACACATTTGCACATACTGTAACTTGTGTGTATGTGTGTGTGCTTATCCCAGGAGCGACAACGGCTGGAGACCATCTTGTCTCTGTGTTCGGAGCTGGGCCGGGCTGAAAGAGATGGCGATAACAAGGCTACAAGTCCCACGTCAGCTGTGGCGGACCTCCAGAAGATCAACCAGGAGCTCGAGAAGCTTCAAGTGAACGACGACGATGACGACACACCATCTGTCTTTTCTGACTCTTCAGCTGTTAATGGAACGACGGGGAATGGACACATGGCCAGAGATCATGGATCAGAGAATGGCTACTATGATGATGATCTACAGGTACGACGGAGGCGCAGCAGCGGTCACCGAGACAACAGGGCAGAGTCACCTGCCGTCAGTCTGCGAAGCTTTGCCCCCTCACCTTCTCCACGCGCTCAGAGGACCAATGAGGTACAAGAGATATGATATTTATTTTTACAAATTTACTACATCTTTAGCTGTTGTTGAGTGTTGAACAGGAGACTTATTACAGAATTTCCATCCCAATTTTCAGACTTTAAAATGTGCAGAAATGTATGAAACATAAAAGTATACAGAGTCCTTTTTATTTCACTGAGAATATGGGTTGAATAATGCAAAGCAACAGTCTCTTTTGAACAGTTCAAATGCATGTTACATTATCATTCAGCATCATACACGTCTCCTGTCTGAAAAGAGTGTAAGACTGCTGAAGCAGCACCTTTGACTTTAGTCAGCTTCTTAAAAGATTAATCAGGATTGATGTGGGAAGTGTTTATGCTCCCTGTTCTCTCTGGAAAAGAAGAGAGTGACAAGGATCACTCCTCTTATTAAAGTATCGACACACACATCCTTCACGTACACAGATAGGAGATATTTAGAGCCCATTTATTAGATTAGAGCAGGCTAAGTGTTACAATTTAGAGCTGACAGCTGGGGTTTGTGTATGTGGGTCTATGTGTGCTGGTGTCTGCCCACATTTCTTGGTGCAATAGAACAGAAATGTTTATCGCCTTAAGTAAGTACTGTGCCACCATAAGAAAAACTTAAAGCAGTCTGACAGTGGATACAAATATTATAAGCTTTAATATAAGATTTAGATTTTTTTTCTGTGAACATATTGGCCCTAAAAAAGTTTTAACAACATCCTAACAATGGTTTAATCTCTGTAACAATGTCATTACCAGGCTCTAGATGATGCAGCTCATCGCCGCGGACATGAAGTGAGGCCCTCAGAGGAGGAGGTGAGGCGTGTGGAAGAGGAAAGGATCCAGGTGCTGAACAACATGGAGGAGCTGGAGCAAAAGATTAAAGAGCTGGACAACCAAATGGAGGAATCTGCCCAAGAGGTAAAGAGAAGACAGAGTGAGGGATGATGCCGCTTTGGGCAGACAGAACACAGCATCAAATCAAATCCGTAATGCATTTTGTTCACACTTTATTCTGTAGTGTTATGTACAGGTTTGTAATAACAGTAAAGATAGACCAAGGATCACTACAAATGGTTTACATACTGCTGTGTATTTACCCAAGGTGGAGCTTGAGCGAGCTCTGGTGGAGGCCGAGCAGGACTCAGAGGTCACTGCTCTCCAGCAGGAGAAAGAGGCTCTGGAAGCACTTCACAACAAGATGGCTGACCTAGAGACCAAGTCCCAGCAGGAAAAGGAAAAGGTATTTAACAGGGCCGTCTCATTATAAAACAGTGAGTGAGATGGATATTTCTCAGAGATTCAGAATGGCTGACACAGAGAGCAAGAGCAGAGAGCAATAATCCACAGACAATGACGTTTGATGATACATCGCCTGTAAATTGTTTGTCTTTCTTTGCTGAAAGACTTGTAGGTCATATTAGTATTGGGCAGAGCAGAGAAACATACCCTGACTAATGGGGGGAAAAAATGTATCAGTGTTTTAAAACCCTTCTTCAAACATGTACACTAAACATTTCCCTTCCTAAGGTGTATGTGTGTGTGTATGTGGTATTGAAAATACATACTCTGCTCTCCGACTCTCATACATTTAGGGGTCATGTGACTAACTGGTAGGTGTTAATCCCTCTCATGCTCTCTGCTCCAAATATATATCTGCTAATACTGCCCAGGGTATAGCAGTCACCAAGTGATCCTGTCTTACACACACTTCTGCGGGAGGACCGTGGGTGTGGGTGAGTGAGTGTGTATGTGTGTGTTTATGTGTGTCTGTCTACATTTATACCAATATGTGGTATCATTGACAGGGTGGGGAGTGTAAGTGGATAAACAGATTAAATTTGCTGTGTGTATATGTGTGTGTTTGCGTGCACATGTCTCAGTTTGGCATTGGGGTGTTCTCATCTGTTGGATTGAGCCCAAGAATGATTGTGAAATTTCCATGGACCCCACAGGAAGTAGATACTGTATATGATAAAACCGTATTGTGATACCGAGTGAGCCAGAGGGAAAGACAGACAGACTGATCAGATAGATAAGTATTGCCCCGAGTGTTCAAAGCTTCCGTTGTAGAGCAGGTAATGTTGAGTGATTGAACAGACTTTGGGTGTGTGTATATGTTGTGTTATTTATAGAGAGGATCATTAATCTTCTGAGCCATTCCTTCTCATCCATTCCCTCAGTCATTTCCATTCAAACAAACAGAGGAAGAAAGGCAGGAGACAGAACTCATGACACTATTCATACTACCTTCATTTCTACTCAATACCTCTCCAGTTCTCCATCCCTTTGGTAGATTTTTTTCTCGTGCTTTCCCTCCCCTGCCGTCCCTCTAGGCTAATCTTGCTGACCTGGTCGCCGTAGTGACTAACTGTGGCTCCCCAGTCCCACTAACGCTGCCATCCTCTCTCTGTCCTGTATGTGTGTGTTCATGTGTGTCTCTGTTTCTTTGTTCGTATGTACACATGATCATTGTGTACATGCGTGTTTGTGTGGGCACGTATGTGCGTCTATGTGTTATGTACGTGTGTGTATGCCAGGCGAGCGCGTTGCTACAGGCAGAAAGGGGCAGAGTAGAGAGGTTGGCTCAGATTGTGTGTGAGCAGCGCTCTCAGCTGGACAGCTGCCCTGAGGCCACCAAGGAGCCCCTGCAGGAGCAGTTGGCCAGGGTCAGTACACACACACACTCACACCTCACAAACATATGCATAAGAAGGTATGTACTTTAGTGTGTAGGCCAGTGGATCCATACAGAGAAAACTGAGCATGCATACACTGACTGACTCAGAACAAAGGCAGATGTAAGTGCACATGAGGATATTGACACTTAAAACATAAACCATATGTGGACAGGTGTTCACATGAAAAGACTCGAGAAAGAGACACGTGATGCATACTTGAACTTGCATGTGAATATGCACACTTTTTCTTTCCTAGGCTAACGTGCACCTCACCCCACATCTATCTTTGATTTTTACCTGGTTCATGTTCTCTCTTCTCAATGTCTAGCTTTTTTGGTTTCTGTGTTCACACATTTCTTTATTTGGCTGTTATATAAGTACACTGATATTTAGGCAAAAGGTTGAAGGCATTACACTTTGTGTCTGCCACATAATATCAGTCCATCCATCCATTCGCTGTACCTGCTTCTGCTTTGGAGGGTGGCAGGGCTCTAGAACCTATGCCCGTTGTCATTGCTTGAGAGGTGGGGTACACCTTGTGCAGGTTGTCAGTCAATCACAGGGCTGACGCTTAGAGACAGATAATCATTCACACTCACATTCACACCTATGGATTATTTAGAGTCACCACTAACCAAACCTGCATGGGTTTTCTCTGGGTGCTTTGGTTTTATCCCACATAACAACATGTTTAAAAAGATGCATTGAAGAGACAACACTTTTAAATCATCTGTACTTCAGGGGAATGCTTACAGCCTGTAACATGTTGCATGCTTACTCAGACACTGGTTATGCTTTGGTGTAGTGCTCTGCATGACTGTTAAGTGTTGATGAAACATCAGGGATATGTGTGTGTCTGGTTTGCTTCGTCTGTGTCTGTGTGTATTGTGAAATGAGAAGGTGCTTTCTTATTGTGTGTGTCAAAGCTGTTTCCTCTCAGAGTTTTTATTATATTTCATGATTTGTCATAATATCAACATGATTCACATGTTTACCCATACTGGGAAGAATTCTCATCACTCAAAGTTTCAAAGGTTAATTATCAAATTAAATGAAGAGTTTCATGTTGTCAGGTTGTCCATGAACACTTGAATGTACACTTGATCGATTAGATAATTCATGATGTTAGATTAATTCATCAATAAAGTATACATCATTTAAGTGTTCTCAGTGTGTCTGAACCATATAACATAATATTTACTGCTTCAGTGCTACTCCAGAGTCCACTGTAAATCTTAGCATCTTATTATATTGATGTATTTGCATGCATTTAACAGCCATACATCCCCTTTGTATCTGTGTGTGACCACAAGTCCTTTAGGTTTTTTTGTTTACCTGCATCTTGCATGTTTTATCAGATGTACAGTACAGGCCAAAAGTTTGGACACACCTTCTCATTCAATGCGTTTTCTTTATTTTCATGACTATTTACATTGTAGATTCTCACTGAAGGCATCAAAACTATGAATGAACACATGTGGAGTTATGTACTTAACAAAAAAAGGTGAAATAACTGAAAACATGTTTTATATTCTAGTTTCTTCAAAATAGTCACCCTTTGCTCTGATTACTGCTTTGCACACTCTTGGCATTCTCTCCATGAGCTTCAAGAGGTAGTCACCTGAAATGGTTTCCACTTCACAGGTGTGCCTTATCAGGGTTAATTAGTGGAATTTCTTGCTTTATCAATGGGGTTGGGACCATCAGTTGTGTTGTGCAGAAGTCAGGTTAATACACAGCCGACAGCCCTATTGGACAACTGTTAAAATTCATATTATGGCAAGAACCAATCAGCTAACTAAAGAAAAACGAGTGGCCATCATTACTTTAAGAAATGAAGGTCAGTCAGTCCGGAAAATTGCAAAAACTTTAAATGTGTCCCCAAGTGGAGTCGCAAAAACCATCAAGCGCTACAACGAAACTGGCACACATGAGGACCGACCCAGGAAAGGAAGACCAAGAGTCACCTCTGCTTCTGAGGATAAGTTCATCCGAGTCACCAGCCTCAGAAATCGCAAGTTAACAGCAGCTCAGATCAGAGACCAGATGAATGCCACACAGAGTTCTAGCAGCAGACCCATCTCTAGAACAACTGTTAAGAGGAGACTGCGTGAATCAGGCCTTCATGGTCAAATAGCTGCTAGCAAACCACTGCTAAGGAGAGGCAACAAGCAGAAGAGATTTGTTTGGGCCAAGAAACACAAGGAATGGACATTAGACCAGTGGAAATCTGTGCTTTGGTCTGATGAGTCCAAATTTGAGATCTTTGGTTCCAACCGCAGTGTCATTGTGAGACGCAGAAAAGGTGAACGGATGGATTCCACATGCCTGGTTCCCACTGTGAAGCATGGAGGAGGAGGTGTGATGGTGTGGGGGTGTTTTGCTGGTGACACTGTTGGGGATTTATTCAAAATTGAAGGCACACTGAACCAGCATGGCTACCACAGCATCCTGCAGCGACATGCCATCCCATCCAGTTTGCGTTTAGTTGGACGATCATTTATTTTTCAACAGGACAATGACCCCAAACACACCTCCAGGCTGTGTAAGGGCTATTTGACCAAGAAGGAGAGTGATGGAGTGCTGCGGCAGATGACCTGGCCTCCACAGTCACCGGACCTGAACCCAATCGAGATGGTTTGGGGTGAGCTGGACCGCAGAGTGAAGGCAAAGGGGCCAACAAGTGCTAAACACCTCTGGGAACTCCTTCAAGACTGTTGGAAAACCATTTCAGGTGACTACCTCTTGAAGCTCATGGAGAGAATGCCAAGAGTGTGCAAAGCAGTAATCAGAGCAAAGGGTGGCTATTTTGAAGAAACTAGAATATAAAACATGTTTTCAGTTATTTCACCTTTTTTTGTTAAGTACATAACTCCACATGTGTTGATTCATAGTTTTGATGCCTTCAGTGAGAATCTACAATGTAAATAGTCATGAAAATAAAGAAAACGCATTGAATGAGAAGGTGTGTCCAAACTTTTGGCCTGTACTGTATGTCCCGTTAAGTTTACGATGTATACATGCAATCCTTCGTCTTACCTGTTTACCTGTGCATTATTTCTTGTGTGTGTTTGTCTTTCAGGACTGTGAGGTGCTCGATGCAGAGTCGAAGCGATTTGAGGACCTGGAGTTCCAGCAACTGGAGAAAGAGAGCAGGCAAGACGAGGAGAAGGAGACCCACACGCAACAGCTTCTCCGGGAAATCGCAGACTTCCAGCGGAGCACTGTCACTCGCAAGGTATCGACTGTCTGTCTGTCTATTTGTTTTGAATCCAACCTATGGAAATATGTATACTGTACAATATCATGTTTTATTTACAATCCAGAATAAGTTAAAAATCCATTAAAATAAAAACCTAACCATATTTTTGCTGATGTGCAGCCTTTTCGAATTTTCTAAGATGTACTGGTTTGTTGTGAAACACCTAATTTCTACACACTGAACCTTTTAAGATGAATCTCTGTTTAAAATGGTCTGAAAGCATACAAAATTATTTCATGTAGTAGCTTTGGCACTAGTTTGATAAGTGAGCTAGAAACACGTAACAGGCTTGTTTTGCTGTACCTTCAGGAGCGACTGTTAACTCTGAAGAAACAGGCAGCGCAGATTACCCAGCAGGCTCAGCGAGAGAAGGAGAGTTTCCTGAAGGAGAGGAGCACCCTCGAAGCAATGCTGCAAAGGGTACGAAGCTGTCCGTGTTTGTGTGTGTTTGCATGTGGCTGTCCTGGCTTCTGTGTATGAATATAAAGAATGAATAATGAAGAAGAAGTTTATTTTGTTTTCAAAATTGATTGCTGTTTCATTTGTTTCCTTTTTCTGTCTCTTAGGAGAAGGAAAATCTCGCTATGCTGGAAAGAAAATATGCAGACTTCACTGGTGGCCGAAGTTTCACTTTAAGGGAGGTAGGTTTGATTGACAGCTGTCAGACAAGAAACTGAAGACTGTTTTTCTCTTTGAACTCCTTCAGACTCTTAGAGTAGGCAGGACTCTCCTCATTTTTAATGGTTGGGGTTTCCTCCTCTGCTAGGATACAGCCTCTCTGGCTGATGTGTGTCAGTCTTTTAGCGACCGATGCTGTGACACCACCTCTGCCACAATTTCTCCTCTTCCAAGCAACTTATGCACCCTGTCATCCCTCCTTTCCTCTATTTCTCTCAAGAATGCAGAGGTACTTTTGTCTTGTTTTACTAATATATCGCTTTCTGTTTTCCTCTTTGTCCAGACAGTAAAGCCATACCATCCTTCCTTTGTTCTGTCCTTGTGGTTCCTTCTTTTTCCCCTTTCAGTCTCTTGTTGTAACTGCCAGTCACTGCAATGCAGGAAAGAAAGACGTTACAGAAATTTAAGCAGAGACCTATTTCATTACTTCTGTGCACAGCTTATACTCACATGTATTAATACTCAGGTAACCTTGTAACAGTGTCTATTGTCTTGTGTACTTCACCCAATGAATGTTAACAGTTCAGTGTCTGTGTAACTTCTAAGTGATGAGACTTTTTGTTCTGTTTTTGCTTTGAAACTGCTAAAATCACCACCAAATTCTGCATCACTCTCACAACTAATATTCAAGTTTGTCATTAATATGGCTGACTCACTTCATGCTATGCCTCACGCCTTCTCTCTCCACATGACACTTTCCAGGGCTATGTCACAGTCAGTGAAATCAATGAGCTTTACTCACAGCTTGGGGGGGACCCTAATCCCGTCCATGCCCCCACACTGGCCAATGCCTCCCCTGAGTCCGAGGCAAACTTGTCCCCTGACGACGACAGCCCCAAACCACCGGAGGATGAGGTGTGTGTAGTGGTGTTAAGGGTTTCCGTATGTAGTACGCGGACGTAGTTGATGCAAAGTGTGTGTGTGTGTGTGTGTGTGTGTGTGTGTGTTTATGAGAGTGTTGCTATTTTCCCTCCTTCTGCACCATTCCAGTTTTCTGACAATATTCCTTTCTTCTTTTCAAAGCTCTGTCATTCTTCCTCACCTGCCGACTGTCACTCCTCTTCTTCCTCTTCCTCCTCTTCCCATCTGTGTCCCCGCCCCCTCCCCAAAACACCCTCTGTGCACTGGCCAGAGAACATGGTGTCATATCGAGATCCCTCTCCCCTTCCTGACTCTCCCCCTCCTCCCCTTCCTGTCAAAAAACACCGACACCAACACAGGCAGGTAATGTGTGTGTGTCTGTTGGTGTGTGTGTGTGTGTGTGTGTGTGTGTGTGTGTGTGTGTGTGTGTGTGCATCAGCAACTTTTTGTTTGTTTGTTTTTGTGTGACAATGTGTAGAAACCAGATGCACATTTTACACAATTCTTTTGATGAATGTTGATTGTAAAAGGTGATTTATAATTGTTCAGGTTGTAGTTAACTTATAGTGCACGATAAGTAATGCTGATCCTCTTTCTATCCCATCCCTTCTCATACACATATGAATAAATGAGTATTTATTCATATGGCTGAAATAAATCACTATGGACTGAAGAATTGTGGTATGCATTTTGTTTTGTTACAGTGTCTTTTTTGATTTACAAAGGTAAAAGTACAAAATATTAAGTCCAACACATTGCAACTTAAAGTCATTACATTTTCATTAAAGAATTGGGACAATGTTATATAACCAAAAATGAAATTAGATCATTTTTATCATTCATTTGATTCAGAATGGATGGCAATGATGAATAATTGATAATCAATTAACAGTGTACACCTCCTCCCTCTGTTGTGGTGTGTATGTTTGATCAGCATTTCCGTTTGCTGGAAGAGAGGAAGAGGTCAGAGAGAGAAGGTGGCTCCCATCTAAGTGACACATTGCCCAGGAAGAAAACCACACCCATCATGACCCCCCAGTTCACGTGTGCAACGCTGGGACGCAGCTTTCCCACCAAGGTACGCATACATATAGATGGTCATGGTCATGTATGCATAATAAATGAAATAATTCAGTACAAAGTTATAGATGTCATACTTTCTCTTGGTCTATCTGTAGCTTATTTTCTCAAATTTGGTATTGAGTTGTGTAATGTATTATAAATATTGTGTAAATACTGTAATTTTTATTTTCGAATTGCTAATACATGTAAGTAAAAACATCTGGTCTCATCTTGGTTGTTTACAGTCCCATCATCCCCTGGTACAGAGCACAAGTTGTGGCAGCATTCTTCCAAGAATTTTCTCCTTATCCAACAAGGAAAATGAATCTCGACGTCTGCATAAAGGTACACACACATCCACAAGGACACTTGCTCAGAAACCACTAATACAGATGAAGAGAGTACGTGTAGGTGCACAGATATATGTAACTCCACTTGTAAAGACTATCTTCATTGTTTTCATTATTCTCTTATTATTATTCATGTCTGTACTTGTAAGATCAAACACACTCATCTCTGGGTTATCACATGAAAATACACCTAATATGGTAGCATCTATCCTGGTTACGGGTTTTGTGTGTGGGCGTGCACCTGATTGTGTTTTGTCGGATCACAAAGTTTCTCATTTGTTTATCTGTCAGTGGAGATAGTGCAGGAATGTAAATGGAGGAGGGCTGCTCCAGTAAGTGTGTTTGTGCACGTGAGCGTTCAGCAGAGGTGGTGGTTTGAGTTTGAACAGTTAGAAAATGGTTAATTTGTTAGAAGTGTTACAAAAGACGCACTTAGAGGTAGGTTTGTACTAATTAAATTTCCTGCCACAACTGTCAACCAGCCATTTCCCATCATTAAGATCACTCATTAGAGTCTAATCCTTGTGCCCTCTGTTTAGATGTGTGCTGACATGTGGTTTTGAACACAGATATAGCTGCTGAAAGATGAAGGATGGTCCGTTACCTCAAGGACCCTGTGCCTTTCTTCCATGTCAGCTTTGACGTGCGTATGGTTTTAGTATTGTGAATGAAAATGTAGTTCCTTATGTGCAAAGTAACTACATGCAACAACCAACTTTGATTATTTATAGATGACTCTTTCATAACTACACTTATCTAAGATGGAAATCCCCAAAATCAGTTTTATTCACGTATAATTTTAGAGTAGTGTGTGTGTGTGTGTGTGCCTTGTCCTATAATAGCACTGCTGTTTTTCCCGGACACTGGTTTGTGTATTTGGTCCCTCAGTCCCTTTGGTCCCTTGATCTGGCTCATCAGATGGGTGGGTCTGCTGCATGGGGCAGATGGTATCAGGTTTTTTGTGTGTATGTGTTTCTTCCTGTACCCAGGGGCCGAGTTTGTCTTTCTTAAGAGTATCCGCACCATAATTTAGTTCCTATTTTCCCCTCTAATTCTGAGGACATCTCATTTTCTTTCCAGGTATTTTTGGACTGCCATAGTTACTTTTAGGACTCTGTGCTGCGTTTACTCATATTGGAAACCGCTTGTTTGTTTGTTTGTTTGTGATTCTCACTATCTGGACACATTTCAACAAGAGTAGATACACCAGTTAGGTGTGGATTTATTCTCGGCTGCACGTATACGAGCGTTCACAGTGGCGGGGCATTGTGATCCAAAATTGAAGCCACTGGGGCAAACTGTTGTCCCAGATGGAGTGACAGAGACAGGTACAGCACATTGCATGTGCACACATGCATTAGAATAATAGATTGTGTTAGTAACTACTGAAGCTGTTGTTTATTTCTCTTTCTGTGTTTGTGTGTCTCCAGGTCAGCCCGGCTCCCGAGCAGCCTCCCAGACCAATGTCTACCTCGATGCATTTGGGTACCGTGACAACCAGGCCTTTGACACAATGAGTGTGGATAGTACTGACTCCATTGAAACCAGCATCTCTGCTTGCTCACCTGATAATGTCTCCAGGTGAGTGTCGCTGGTGTGTCATGTGTGTGTGTGTGTGTACATATATGTCTGTGGATATTAATAGAAGTGACAGAAACAAAAAAGTGAAGTGTGTCATTTCTGCTGTAGGTGTAAAATAAGTCTAGCTTAAATATTTCTAAGTGAAGTATTTGCTGACCAACATCACTCACTGCGTCTTTCTATACTTTCTTTGTGTTTGTGCTTTTGTGTGTCCCTTTGAATGACAGAAAGGCTGGAAAGTTGAAATATGACAAGAGACAGACAGAAAATTGAAAACTTGAATACACAAAAATGTCCCTTTGTGTTCATAATGTGAAACATGGACTGTGGGGGGGGGTGAACAAAGAGCGTAGAAACTGAGTTAATGTAAAAAGTGTGTGGAGCTGCAAAGCAGAGGTTTCCCGCCTTTCATGGTCCCTCCTTGGAGAATTAGATGTGTAGAAGTGTGTGTGTTATATGAGTTAAGGGGGACTCTTGATTAGTGTTGGAAGGGTCAGGTTACGGAAGACAGAAAACATGAAGGTGTGTGTGTGTGTGTGGGTGTGTTTGTGTGAGTGTGTGTTCACAGTCAACCCCCTCAGGTTCAGATGAACTGAGCAAACCAGTATGAGTGAGGGGGCACATTTAGGGGTCCATCCCCCTTCTGGACTGAAACCATGTGTGCTCACTCTCCTTTTTACAGTGGTTGCATCTGTCTTTTGTCTCCCCTCCTCTTGTTTCTCTGAATGGTATGGTCTTGTGTCTGCAGAGAAATTTTGCACAGTCCCAAACCATTTGCAGATTGACCTCTCTGCATTGTAAGTTTTCCTGGAACAGGCTGCCTCTGTGATCCTCAGTATGGTTCCAGTTGGATTGTGTTGTACCGGCTTAGATCGGATTGGAAGGCGTGTGCGTTGGAACCTGAATCAGTGCTGGACAAACTAGTAGTTTTATGAAAGAAGTGGAGTTTTTTGTCGTCTTGTCAGTGATGTTTCCTGTTTTTTGGAGTGCTGGAGCAAGAGGAAGTAATCCAAATACTTGAATAATTAGATTTGAGCGTGGCTGGTCTACGATGACTATGAGTGCGATACCCTCTCATCGATTGAGGTAAGAGAACAGCAAAGAGATGGGAGGAAGAGAGGAAAGGATGGATGTTACAGTGAGGTTGGAGTTTGGTTAGATTCATGTTTATGTGAGTAGTTACAAAGAAACAGGGGATGTGTCATGTAAGATTAATTTGAGTCTAAATAAAAGTACAAGACTAAAATATGCAATATACAGCAGTCACAGATACAGATTCAAGTAAGTCTGCCTATTATATTTTTTAACGTTTGATTGTATGTTGATTTTCATTTCTGCCTAATGATATTTATAATGGAAGTGGATAAAAATTAACATGGTATGCAATCAACAGACTTCAGACAAATTCAGCAATACGTAAATCTGCAGTATTATGTTAAGGTTATGGCAGAATATAAAGTGAGAGCTGTGGTGATCTTCATATGAAAATGGCAACTGCTTATGAAAAAAATACCACAGAGCGGGAAAGCATTTTTTTTTTCTGCATGCTCTTTTTTTTCTCCTACATTTTTAATTCCCTTCCTCCCTCCAAGTCCTTTTTGAGATTACTTGGGGTACCCTGCTTCTGTCTTTTGCTCTCCCTTCCTTCCTGATTTGTTTAGACTGAGTCTAATGTGTACCATTCATCTTAACAATGTTGCGACATCATCACAGATCAACACTGGGTATCCATTTCCTCCTGGCTGCGGATAAGAGAGAGTGCGTGTGCGTGTGTGTTTGCATGTCAGAGGGAGANGAGTGCGTGTGCGTGTGTGTTTGCATGTCAGAGGGGGGGAGGGAGGGAGAGAGAGAGGGAGAGAGAGAGAGAGAGAGAGAGAGAGAGAGAGAGAGAGAGAGAGAGAGAGAGAGAGAGAGAGAGAGAAATGTTGAGAGAAAAATACAGTTAAATATGACAAACATAAACACAAATCTCTTCGCTGTGATGTCAGTCAGGAGTGTGTCATATGTTGTCCATCTGCAGTCAGGGAGACCTGACTCTGCCTGCTGTGCTGAACTAAAGACGGTGACACTGCAGAGCGTTAGAAAGTCTTTCAGAGAGACAGAGAGAGATGGTCTGATCCTTAGATTGCCTTGACATCCAGGCTTCCTTTCCTAATGGATTTCCTCTTTGAGTCAGCATGCACACTCACACACACACACTCACTCACACACACATACACACATAAACAGTGGATAATTGGGACTATTCTCAGGAGGCTTCAGCCTTTTTGCTGAAATGCTAAAAAAAAAACTGTGATTGTGTGTGTGTGTGTGTGTGTGTTCTCTCTGTACATTTGCATTATTACACTGAGGTTTAACACACACGAGGGGCTTGTTTCTCAAATGTGATTATGCTCTGTATTTAAAGGTATAAAATGCAGGATTGTCAGGTACTGTTCGTTAACACGCTCACCAGCGAAAGTGAATGTAAAAGCCAACTCCAGATTCACTTTAGTTTGGCTATTTGCCTCACCATATTTGTGTTTTTCCAGCACTGTGTCTCTTGGATGCCTGCTGCTTACAGTCTGGCACCTGGTCGCTACCTTTTAATAAAGCCCCGACCTCACCTGAGCGCTGTGGGGTTACACGTGCACAAGCATTAAAATAATAAGAGAATAAGACAATACAGGGTCACAGAGTCAGTGTGTCGAGCTTGCTGCTGGTGTAGCAGGTCTAATTAATTATCTTTGCAGCTGCTCAGCTTCATTACAGTTTCAGTGTATTTCAGGTTCAACCACATGACTGTTGATTTGTGGACGGTGTTTGTTTTCCCATGACTGTGTCAGTGATAGATTATACAGAAGATGTTGTACGTGTGTAGTTGATGTGTGTTGTATGTGTTTGTGTGGCACAGTGCCAGTACTTCAAATATGGCCAAGCTAGAGGAGATGGAGCGAATGCTGAGAGAAGCCCAGGCAGAGAAGAACCGCCTCCTGGAACACAAGGTCGGCACGAGATCAAATCCTGTTCATTATGAGTTCATGCTTTTGTTTTAACTGTTGTACAGTGTGTTAGTGGTACACGCAGGGTGAAAGTATTAATGCATTAATGTAAAGTTCTTTAGAGATGGCAAAAGTGTAAGTCTGTGAGTATGTGTGTGTTTGTGTGTTTTCAAACTTTACGACAACTTCAATTATCCATCAGGAGCAAGAGATGGAGGCTCGGAAGCAGGCGCTGGAGGAGGAGAGGAAAAGACGGGAGGATCTGGAGAAAAGGCTACAGGAAGAGACGAGCAGACGCCAGAAACTCATTGACCGTGAGGTGAAACTGCGAGAAAAACAGAGGGCACAGGTAAGAGGAAAGAAAAACCAGGAGCATAAAAGATGTGTGTTTCAATCATAAACGTTAATTTATGATTTGAAAGTGTTTCTCAATTTGTGATGACCCAGCATGTACTTTAATCACCTGTAGACTCATATATCAAATTGTGTGAGCCTTTATGGGACCAGTGAAGCATTATGAGAAGACTAATTAAGCTTTCTCTAAACAAGAAGAGAGATTTGTCATGCTGTAATTGTTCCAAAAGATTGTTTTGAACTTGATGTCACATTTTCAGGGAACTCAACTTTTATTCTTTTGACAAAGCATTCAATTATTTTTCTATAGCTACAGTTTGTACATTTCATGCATACTTTGCTCTCTCTGTATGGTTTCAATCATGTCCATGCTGACAGTTCTTAGTATAAGCTTCATCCATCATCCTCTGTTCTGTTGCCCGGACCATCAACTGCTGGCAGCAGAAGAAAGAAAACTTAAATCCATCTAACATATGATATAGATTTACATGATTTGTATGAATTATATAAACACATTAGAAATACATCATTGTTATTACTTAACCAAGTCCCTCTCCTTTCCAATGAACCTATTCACTCTTTTCTCTCCAGTCCCGGCCGCTCACACGGTACCTGCCGGTGCGGAAGGACGATTTTGACTTGCGGGCTCACATTGAGTCGGCGGGCCACAGCGCGGACACATGCTTCCACTTGTCCATCTCTGAAAAGACCTGTCGTGGGTACTTGATCAAAATGGGAGGCAAAATCAAAACATGGAAGAAACGCTGGTTTGTCTTTGACCGCAACCGACGCACGCTGTCCTACTATTCAGGTATGGCAGAAGATGCACATGCAGACACTAAAACTACTACATAAGATGCAAATACACACATCATCACTTGTATTTCCTATATTTTACGTGCATTTGAAATATGAATCAATACGTTAAAACAAAACTGAACACCCTACAGTACGTTCACACATATTGTTTATGTCATAACCTCTGTTGTGTCTTCTGTAGACAAGCATGAAGCCAAGCTGAAAGGAGTCATCTACTTCCAAGCAATTGAAGAAGTGTATTATGATCACTTGAAGAATGCACATAAGGTATGTGTATATGTTGCTACAAACATGATGTGTGCAAATCACTCATATCTTGAAAAGTATGAATTATTATCTTCTAATTTACTTGTAAAATTATTCTTTACGTCTCCCTGTCTGTCTCCCACTCACCATTTATCATCCACCATCTCCCTTCTGTGTTTTTTGTTCCATCCTTGACTGGCTCCTCCCTCCTTTCACCTTCCTTCCTCTCCCTCAGAGCCCAAACCCTTCCCTCACCTTCAGTGTAAAGACTCATGACAGAATCTACTACATGGTTGCTCCCTCTCCTGAGGCCATGAGGATCTGGATGGATGTGATCGTCACAGGCGCTGAGGGATACACCCAGTTCATGGTGTAGTGAAGGAGCAGGATATGCCAGCATGTTGCGACTCATTGTGGCTTTAAAGTTTCTATTACTTTTTTTATTCTTGGACTTTTCAAGTGTCTGAATGGATATTATTGTCATCTATGCTGAAGAACGAAAGCAGTTTCTGTTGTGTAGAGACGGCAGCCTCGAGTTACTCAAGATAATATGCAATATTTTATCCACCTCATTTACAAGATGGTCAGGGTTTACGATCATATGGGCAGATACAAGAGGATCGTTTGAACATTTTTAGGCTATGGTGCACCACCACCGTGCCTTGGAGTGACTTCAGGTGTACCTCAAGGTTTTGTTTTAGTGTAAGGGACATAATTGTTAAAAATTATATTTTAAATAAGCTTATTGTCTTCAGAGAAGAGCAGGCTGTTACTCAGCAGCTCTGTTTTTGCCATAAGAAGCTCTGTAGAAAAGATTTTTAATGTGGATGTAATGTTGGAAAAATTGATGTGGAGTGAACCAGTTATTAACATCAACTAGGAATATGTAACCGTAGTTATGATTAAAGAAATGACGCAAAAGCCTCCACAATCTTAATATGACACGGAAGAACAAGGTCAATTGAATCATTTTTAGACAAATCCCCGTGTACAGAATAAATAGTGCATATTAATTTAGTAAAAGTAGTTGAGTAAATGTATTTTCATTTTGAACTTTTATCATCTTGATTTAATTTCATGTATCATTACTGTGGCATTCTCAGGTCTTAACTGTGTGCATGGATGTGCATGTGTGCATCATATGATCATGTGTGATTTTAAAACACGTGCTAAGAAGTGCCTGTTTTGTGTGCATACTCTTTTTAACCACAAGCTTCTGATGTAGCTCCAAGGTGCTATTCTTACATGGTGAGTGACACTAATGATCCAGGCCACACCATCACACAAAAGATTTCAGTTTGGGTGTGATTATGCACTCAACAAGGTTATAATAAGTCTCCTGTGCTTGGTTTACAGTCATGTCACCACAGGCTCAGAAATGAAGCTCTGTTAAAACAGTGTCAGGCTTGTTATGTTCCAGAATTATGAGTTAGTCAAATGAGCACGAGGAATAAGGACTGTTGCCAAGGCATTATATTGTGGTATTTGTACATTTTGTTTCTAAGTTGTAGTTAGTTTTAAAATAGTGAGGACAGTTAAAACTCATTGTTGACACAAAACTCCCATTTGTGCCTATTTTTTAAACCATATTTTGTGTGACAGTATTTTGACATGCATATTATCTATATTTGTAAGAGCGACGTGTATCTATATACAATGCCAAACTGTCTGTGGGGAGAAAACACACCAATGTGGAAACATGGTCCAGAGTGGTTTTGTTAGAAATAGCCTCTGTAGGATGAAGTCGTGTTTTGAGATGTCAGGCAGGAAGAATCTATGGTACAGGCACTCACTGAAGACGCCTTGAGTCATGAAAACTGACTGATTATTGTGCTGCTTTGGTCCACTAGCTTTCATCGCATTGCTTTTATTACCACTAATTCAGTGTTTTAAGTTCAATGGACAATTCCACATTGATCATTAAAGCTGCTTTTATACTCTCTATCATACTCCATCGTACTCCATCGTGATTCAGTCTACTAATCAGTGCATTTATCACCTTGTCGCTCAGCATCACTTTTGTTCATTGACCAAAGTACATGTTTCTGTGGTATAATGTATATGTGCTTTTTTGCTTTGGCTTTTCTTTGTTCAGTACAATGAGATCAAAATGGCGTCTGTTTTTTCATGACAAGCACATGGTTGTTTTCCAACTAAAAGAGGCTGTTTCAGTGGAAGCTGTCATGAGCTTAAATTTTCCTGTGTTTTTATAAATATTTTTTTATGTTGATCCTACTGTATTTATGCCTTTACCAATGCATGTATCTTAATTTTGTATTTCCATATGAATAATAAAAAAATATATATTTTACCTAGTTTATTAAGTCTGTAGAGCAGGTATAAAACTGGCTTTGACATCAACATAGTAATTACTGATTACAGGAATGACGTGTAACATTCAGTCAGTTATATACTCCAGAACCACACACCTCAGGTGCCATCGCTTGAGGTGCATGTTACATTTTAACCAGTGTGTCAAATGTGTAACATCTATGAAATACCAGATGAGTCAGTCAACTTTCTTAAACATTCAGAATAACTTTAAACAAAACCACTGTAAATGTGTTAAACTACAATGATATGGATAACTAATGCAGGGTTAGAAGCTTTTTCTTATATTTAATTCTTAGTAACAAAAAAAAAACAACAGTAAATATACAAGTAGACTAAATAATCATTTTGCATCTTTTATTGAGCCTCAACCCCATTTATTTACAAGTCAGATATTTTCTGGCGCTCCCGAGAGGTGCACGCGCAGCTCGGCCCAACACCTGTAACTTTTTCCGCACCTGTAAAATAAAAGCACATTTACATAAAGGAGAGCACGCTTATATATCCCTTGTCCAACTTTGACCTTTTCACGTCTCCCGAAAATGTGTCAACAAGACGAACAACATCTGCATTTGTAAACTTGGGCAAAGATATAAGTAACTGGGAGAGAGTGCGCTGTCCAGGCTCCATAGTAACAGTTCACACAGCAATAGATCGTAGCGGCACATACGAAAGTAGTGACCGGAACTGAGGATTCCCAGCTTCCGGTCACGGCAACAATTTTGTGAAATAAGACTATTCATAGTGCTAATTTCTGGTTTGTTTTATTGAAATACAGTAACTAGCACGAGTACTCACAAAGTATGTAGGTAACATGGAGACTCGCGTTTCTTTCGTCGGCTCCTTTTACCCGGTCCGTGGGTCCCGGTGGGCCGATAGGCCGTAACATGTTTGTAACGTTACATTTGAACTAGTCCAAGCCGGCCAAGTGCTTGCAGTCATATTCCAGCAGTAAGCGCTTTTTGATATTTACATGAATGGCACAACACCTGTAACTTTTTTAGCACAAATAAAAGCATATTTACATAAAGGAGAACACACTCCATACATGTCACACACAACAGAAGTAGTGACGTCACTGCGATTCGAGCGCATGCGCAAATGTGCGAATGTGCTCTGAAGTGTCATACAGGGCGTTCTAGAATCTAGAACGCCCTGTATGACACTTCAGAGCACAGAGAGAAAGTTTGTAAATAGGATTTCGTCGTAACTACAAACTGACCTGTGTAGGATTTTTTTTAAAACGTCTACAATCGTTTGAAAATCCGTTAACAGAGACAATATGTCTGATAGTGAGGTCGTCGGTGAGGTAGGTGAGTTTCATCGCCTCTGCTTGTCTCCACAAGAGGCCACTGAGAATGTTAGTATGTCAATACCAGAAAGTTCAAGTGACAGCCCTGGAGACATTATGGAGGAGGAGATGACAGCCATGGAATCGATGAGGGGAGCACTGCGTGACAGCAAGGAGCTTGAGTGTGATGCAATGCTGAACAGTGTTCAGAAGTACACAGTTATACTGGAAGAGGAGATAATGAGTTTGAAAAATGAGCTTAGGAAATCTCAGGAAGCCACTGGAGAAAAAGATTTAGTCATACAGGACCTGACCCAGACTCTGACCCATTTTGAATCTCTGGCGGAGAGTAGGGAGGCAGAGATTAAAGAGTTGAGGGCTGCACTGTGCAGTAGTAAGGACAATGAAATCTCTCTGACCGGACAAAATATAAGCCTCATCGAGGAAGTGGCTCGACTGGAGACTCAGACAGAACAACAAAATGGGCAAAATGAAGACCTAAAGAAAGCTGTGCAAGCTCTTCAGCACCAGATAGTGGAGGATGAGAGTTTTATCTGCATGAAGGATGAGCTCCTAACAAAGCAATCGGGTGAAATTGTTGACATGAAGGAAGTGATAGAGGTGCTTTTGCTTCATATAAATAATTTAGAACAGTCCAACGATATTAAGACACAGCTCGACACGAGGCAGGAGGAGGAGATTCTAGCTGGTGTTAGTTTCAGAGAGGAATGTAGTGTGACTGAGAATTTAGACCAGCTAGATGTATCTGAGGAGCCGGTGGCCCCAGCTGCCGAGGCTTCAGATATAGAGGCTCCAGAAGTCGAGGCTCCAGCTGTGGAGGGTCAGAGCAGCAGTTGGTGGCGTCGCTGTGCCAGAGGTGTGCAGAAAGTAGGCTTACGTGTTGGCATTACAGCTGTGCGTGTACTTGTTCCTTTGAGTATCCTGGCTTCCTGCAGCATCTGCTCATTAGCCAGTGACTTCAGCCCGCTCACTCCTTATTATAGCATCAAACCCATAACACCTCCTCCATTCTAAACAGGACAAACGACCATTCTACACTTGAGGTGTGGATAACATCTCTGTTATGTGTTTATAAATATACATGATGAATATATATTCATCATGTATATTTATGAATGCAGGGCAACATGGTGATGCAGTGGTAATCACTGTCACCTCACAGGGGGCCAGCCTCTCTGTGTGGAGTTTGCATGTTCTCCCCATGTCTGCGTGGGTTTCCTCCAGGTGCTCTGGTTTCCTCCCACATCCAAAGACATGCAGGCAGTGGTGTTTTATAGCGACCCTCTGCTGCTTTTTCAGCTGCTTTTACTAACTACAGCTGAGTGGTTTCTGTGTCTAAACACAACCACACATCAACCACAGCACTGTTACATTAGCTCTTAAACAGGCATTGATCCTTGTTGATTGACTTCTGCTTTGCTTTGAGTGATTCAAAGTCTTAGCAGTGGTCATTAACAAGGATAATTATAGCAAAAATTAATATCAGAAAATAAAAAAATTGGACTAATTATAACACAAGTACATGTGAAATTATTTGGCTGTGTACCATGATCCACAAATATGTCACTATGCACAGACATGTCCTTTTACATTTGTGTAAATTCACACCCACAAAAATTCATTTGCAAATGCACAAAACTTAGGCTACTCTGCAAACACGTACTTTAATTTCACATAAAACTGTCACAGGTTTTACAAATGTAAAGAGTTTCACCACAGCAATTACAGGTGAAGTCATATTTATGCATTTGTGGGTCCATTTTTACACATGAAACAAGTTTTGCACATTTGTGGATCACTTCCTGTGAGTTTGTGGGCCCTGGGACATTTGTGACTTCCCTTCTATCTGTTTTGTATTATTTTGTCTAATTCCTACTGCAGTAGGTCTGTAAAAACGTGTGTGTGTGCGGTGTAGTTACTCGCCACATCAGCAGGTGGCCACATTCTCACATGAGATGACAGAACTTGAGGCAGCACCAAGAAGGCTGAAACAAGGGTATAACATTCAACAGCAATTGGAAACAACACTGACAGAAGTCAGTCACTGTTAGTTCACTTCCAGAGAGCATGGGGAATTTATTTTATTTTATTTTAAATTTTCCATTCTCTGTTCAAGGGCTCTGGTTTTAGTGAACCGGAGGTATTTTCCAAAAACGTTTTTAAAATGAACCTCCAGGTAACCTTTAGGGACCCCTCCCTGAAGGATACCTGTTTGCTGGGTGTTTGCTTGGATGAGAGCACAAAGCCTCTTCATTCTTGATCATGACAAATTTAACATCTAAGCTAACTGTGTGCTGTTGTATGCCTCTGCTTACTATCAAAATATACCACACACCAGTTATGTGTCAGATGTTAAATTGTAAGCTAGCTATTTAAATAGCTAATTTTACTCTGAACTGAAAGGGAGGTTTCTCTGTATTGAACATTTACGCATTACTTTCATGATTCCATAGTCACATTTTTTTGTCTTTTATTACCCCTCACATTTCACAATGACTTTGCCCAGAGACCCATCTGTAGGAGCTAGGAATTAATTAATAGGTGTTGTTTCTATTAGTAATAAAGGGAAGGGATAGTCCATTGATTGTTACTCTTTGGTCTTGTTTGTTTTGGTTATGATATAATTTATTATGCGATCACATATTTAAAGGAGGAAAATGCATCAAACAGATGCTGGTGTTGCAAGTTTGGAATGGATGCGTTTTAAATGCACAAGCTGAAAAAAAAAATCAAAATGGAAATTAGGGAAAATTAGTGAAATAAATACCGAAATGGAGTTACAGTCCCTGGTGGCAGATACAAGACCTCCAGAAACAGGCGCAGGAAGCCAGGGCTAAGACTGTCAGTGTGCAGGAGACACTGCAGTCTGAAAACAGGGCACACCAGCTGGAGTTTGACAAAGGACTTGAAGCTGGGGAGCGCACTCCTCGAGAGTTTTGTTAACGGACGGTGGATCGCGGAAGTAGATGTGAGTCGAAGATAAACATAGTATTAAAACAGGTTTGGTGGTTTGGCATAATCTGGGCAGTGACTGGATCAGAATGGCATGTAGTAGTGGTGGTGGGTGTTCAGAGGATGACGAGATAGAATTAGACTGGGCTGTGGTTGGAAACAGTAGAAATGAAAGGAGGAATAACGTTAGAGTAAATGAGATGACAGGCAAACGAGGTCGTGAGGATGGAGAGGAAGGGCGAGAAGTGCGAAGGGTTGCTAAATCTGTTGCTAAAGTGCAAAAATGCAGAACAGAAAAATAAAGCTCTTAAGCTACAAACGATTTGCAAAAAAGAGGTAGCCGAGCGGAAGACAGTTGGGGTAGGAAATGGGGTGAGGGGAGTGATATCAGGAATCCCTCTGAAAGAAAACTTGGAGGAACTGAAAAAGGTGATCAAGGGAGGGGAGATCACTGGAATAAGACGACTTCAAGCATTCAGAAGTGGGGAAAAGGTTGACAGACTTGTCAGTAATGTTAGAATTCCGTAATGAGGTCCTTCCAGATAAAGTAAAGATTGGATACATGAGTTTTCCTGTCAGGGCATATGTCCCCCCTCCCCTAAGGTGCTATAAGTGTCAGAGGTATGGCCATAGGGCAGCAGTGTGTAAAGGGAAACAGGACGATGTGGAGGGGAACAGGGGAACTTATGGTGAATGTGGTAGCAACAGCTTAGTGAAATG